TTTACACAGAATGGTCCAAAAAAGAGAAAATATCCAGGGGAGCGGCAGTTCTCTTGGTAAAAATACAGTGCTGATGCCAGAGGTCAGAAGAGAATTGCCATAGAGCTTCAAGCTGATAGGAAAGCAACAGTGACTCAAATAACCCACTCCTTACAACAAAGTATACAGAAGATCAGGAAACTAAAGCTACAATTCGCAGCAACACTTGAGAATAGAAGATTAGAAAAATATCGCACGCCTGGTCTGATGAGTCTTGATTTCTTGCAACATTTAGTAGGGTCATAAAAACATGAAAGCTTGGATCCATCCAGCCATTTAGGATGGTTGTAATGGTGTAATATGGTTCTTAGCACCAGAGTGACTTAGTATCAACTGAACATCATTTACTTTTTTAGTATATTATGGCATGTCACGAAGTGCAGATCAAACTGGTTTCTTGAACATAACAAGTACCCAAATAGTCCCCAGATCTCAATGCAGGAACACATCTGAAAAGGGAGATTTGCATCATGGATGTGTAGCCAACAAATCCACAGCAACTACATGATGCTGACATGTGAAAATAGACCAAAATCTCTGAGGAATGATTCCAGCAAGCTGTTAAATCTATGTAAGGAGAGGGTGTGCCCCAATACTAGCAAGATGCACCTAATGAACTGGTCAGTGAGCGCAGCATGTGACCATGGAAGCCACACCTACATGCTGTTCAAAACTTCTGTTTGCGAAGGGCAGCCAGTGAGAGAAAACCAAACTGAAATTAAAGGTGGCCTTAAAAGGAGTAGAGCTAAACCAGCTTGTTTCAAACAGAGGATGAACCGATGTGCACCAACAGCTCAGTATAAGATAAATAAGGATTATTCTGAACAGCGAATCAAACAAATCTATTTTAGTAGAGTCCAGTATTGAAATTATAGAGGTACAATTAAAGGGTAGATCCCCTTTAACAGTCTATAACTTCATTTTCTAGAATGAAGTTGGATAATGTCCAATTAAGCCCATGTGGGAATAGCACAGCTAACTATCTTGAGAGCAGGCAGGTGAGTGGGTATCATGTGTCCTGCCTGCTAAAAGCTCTGCCCAAGTAAAGTCATTGTTGAAACCATCAGAGAGTGCAGGCTTGACTCAAAAATCTTCGGTGTGCTACATGTGATAAACGGCGACTCCGGACAATATCCCCAGTCTGATTCTCCCAACACTGTTGGGGGTTCATGTGTGAAAACAGCTTTGAAGGCATCATTCCCCGAGGATTTTTCTGTAACCGATCGGGAGATCAAAGTGTGCGAACTTTATGTTGTGGCTGGTTGGATTTAGTTGTTTGATGCCATAACTGCAGTGATGAAAAAGTAAAGCCACGGTCCAGAACTCCCCTCTGTGCACAGGACCCATAAATCACTGTTACGGCCCTGCACACAGACACATAAACACAATCGCACTCCCAGTTTCAGAGCCTCACTTGGAGGGAGAGAAGACATTCTGGGTTATCTCTATGAACGGGTGCCTTCCCCTGGCTCCCACTCCACTCGCCTTCCCCGCCAGATAAACATGTTGTTCCAAACACTGGTTCAACACACGGCGACGAGCAGAGATTAAGACCGACTTAAGTTTATCATAAATGAAGTGCAAAGTCGACAGTTGTGTGGCCCACTGCCTCTCAAAACTAAAAACCACCAGCTGGGGTATTTAGGAAGCGTTGGGAGCTGTGCAGTAGCAGCCACCAGGCATTCCAGTGTTGAGGTAGGCTCTAATCCTCTGCTCCTGGCTCGCTTCTGACTATGAAGGAAACAGCAGGGAGACACGTTCACAAATCAGAATTTATGGTGGCGTCAACACTGTTTCAGAGAGAGACAGTGATCCTCAGGCTTTGTAGTTTTTCTCCAAGTCTCAATCCAGCGAATAATTGGTATGTAGTCAATTTTTAAAAATGGAAAATTGGATTTAAAAAATCAATAATGCCAATCTCCAAGTGAAAATCAGACTTCAAAAATGCCATTTCGAGCATAATTACGTTTCTGTTCGCTTTCTATTAGTGGCAGCGTTCTCAGGGAGTTGCTAGGAACCCGAGGCAAGCGGTGTCTTCTTCCAGCAGGAAACTCAAAACCTTGTGGTTGCATGGGGACTTAAAATCCGGGTGCAAATCTGTTCAATGATACCAACTTCCCTTAAAATAGCTTTTCTGTGAAGATCACCCATATTCTCCTTCTTCTGTCTGTTCTTCATCTCTCACACACAAAAACCTTAAAACTGACAAGACGCAGACCCTGCACGCACACACAAACTCTTCAAGACAAGGCCCTGTAAAGCCTGCGTGATGTTTTCAACGTCAACCGGGCCGGTCCCTGCCATCTTAGTGTCTCCATACCAGCTTAGCGCAACAGCAGAATGACACAGTAACAGACACATATCAGCTTACTATAATAACACCTAGCCACCACGCCGAGTAATCCGCCATTTTCCTTCACAGGCCTGTAAATAAGTATTGTCATTTTACACTAGAAGACTCAAAAATCTTCATCTTTTAACTGTTTGGCAGACTTGTAATTGAGCTCCAGGTCTTTGCAGAGATCACGTGGGTGGCGTCGCGTGCCAAGGAGCAGACACAAAGCAGAGGCAGCCAGAAATGTGTGCCCCCGTAATGGACAGATACATTATCTGAGTCTGTTTCGCACATCTACTCTAAGTTCCTCTTTCTTCTCACTGCCCTGCTGCCTACAGTAACTCTCCTCTTGCAAGCAAATGACAAGTCCTCCAGCAGCCTTAAGCCTGGAAACACCCGCTTGCTGATCTTTCTCGCCTTCTTTTCATCTTCCCCCATCTGCCCTTAAATCTCTCTGTCTTCTTTAGTCCATCTTTCCCTCCCTACCTTCTCATCATCCCCTTTCTTCCAGCATCCTCCTTACTCTCCCTTCACTGTCCCCCCCTTCTCTCTCTCTCTCTCTCCCCCTTGCACCCTCTCTCTATGTCTCTCGCTCTCTTTGTAGGTATTTCCCTTGCTGATGTTGTCCATTGAGAGCCGGTGATTGTCTGTGGGTGAGAGCAGAGGAGAAGAGCGGAGCCGATTACTGCAATGCAGAGCAACCAAACAACATCACAGTGCTGCAGCAGACGCTGTGTTTGTATATGTGCTTGTATGTACAGTTTATGTACATATATAAATGGACTTTGTTTACTCGTGCTTACTTGTATTTGTATGTAGAAAGTGTGCACACATTTGCACCGCTGATATATTGATGTAAATGTTTATGAGTGTGTGTGTGGCGCGCGTGTGTTTGCGAGCGATGACCAGCTCAACCACAACTATTTGTCATGGCCAAACACCAAAGCTTGTGCAGCTATGCACCATGACTTTTAAATAGATCTCTTTTCAAACCATGCCTAACTGTGCATTTTTAATACTCCGCATGTTTATGCAGAGAAGAATATGTTTTCATGCTTTCGCACATACACACACTCTCACTCAGAAGGATCCGCCTATCGCAGCTCAGGCTAAATCTATTATGCAAAATGACAGTGTTTTTAATCAGGCTAATTGTCCAGCTCCGCGCCACGTCTCTGCCATCTCTACTTAACCGATGCCACAGCCGCACTGTTTTTTTTTTTGTATTTTTTAAGGAATAAATGACACGGTGGTGGTGGAAGAGCGAGAGGCAATCTAAGCCACAGAGGCCCACAGGCGTTTGAAGTCTAAAGACTCTTTCATCCTCGACTCTGGGAAATGAATGATTTTTTTCACACAGTGACAGGACAGCTCTGACAGGACCCAAACACATGAACCATGGCAAAGCTGTCAGATAGTCAAACACACATACACAGACACATACACATACACGAGCATACAGGGAAACGCAAGAGCCAAACACACACACGTCGACACGCTCACACCCACACAAACACACACTCTCTGAAACGGGTCCAGAGCAGAGAGGGCTGCAAAAATTAGACATGCTCATGGTCGAGGAAGTGAGAAGGAAGCATTAAAAGTGAGGGAAAGCGAGCGAACAGGACGGAGAGAATGATGCTATAATTAGTCGTTTGTTGCTCTAACTGGCATTTAGTTTTAACTGGGCTTCTTTGTCTGTAGACACAATGGGGCTGATGTGGCATGAGTGAACTACACAGCTTAGAGGATTAAGGCTGGACTGAGGCTGTGCCGCTGCACTCACCCTCCCCGTCATGCACATGCCAACAGGCGAGCCGCACAAACGCCCGGCTTCACACACTTTCTTAAACACACACACACCTACAAACAAAGGCACACCCCTCTGAATGCACAAAGTCGCGACTGTGCGCACACGCACACACAAACGCACCCACAGGGGGATTATCTGTGCAACAGAGTTCTGAACACTGAGAGTGAGGAGGCGTCTGAAGAACTGCACTCATCACCGAAGGATGGAAAGAGCACAGCAGAAAGAAACAAAACACACACACACTTGAATGTGAGCTACCTGTGTGTTGAGCAGCATATTGAACAGCACCTCTCCGTGTCCGTCCTGCGAGGCTGAGCTGACAGCCAGAGCAATGAGAAGGAAGGGGAAATAGAGGAGAGAAGAAAGAACAAAAGGAAAAGGTGAGGAGGAGAGCAGAGGAATAAAGAGCAGAGGAAAAGGGGAGAAAGGAGCAAATCAGATGGAAAGATGAAGGCAGAAGAGAGAGGGAAGATCATTATGAAGGAAACACTAGCAATTCACGACCTTGGCCACAGGGCCCCCAGTTATGTCCTTATTTCACCCAATGGACTTGTATTTATTTTATACCATTAATGTGGTAGATTTCACACTATTAGCTTCTATCTCCACCCTTTAGTGTGTGAGGAACCCTGCAGGCAGCCAGCTTTGCTCAACTCTCATCTGATCTCCGCAACACGCTGCATGGACAAGCTTAGAGGCTTAGCATACCTCAAGCCGTCTCTTTCATACACTATTAAAGCAACAGGGAGAGTGAGTGTGCATTTATGGGGGTCAGGGCAAGTGTATGTATGTGTGAAGCGGTTACACAGTAGCTTTTTTTATGTAGCACCCTTTATTGTATTTCGTGGGTCGGCGGTAAGAAGGCTGAACCAGATGCAGAACCATCCTATACATTAATATAACATGATCCCTTACAGGAGAGCTTCAACACGCGAAAACTAAGAATAAATATATTCACAACTGCCTCTACTATTGGTAAGAGATGAAAGCATAAAAAGGTACCTCTGTAAAAGATAATAATCGATAGTTGATAGAAGTGTCTGTCTCTTTTGTTTTTTTTAGACAAAAAATGCCTTTTTTACATCCTGTTTTTTTTTTTTTTTGTCCATTGATCTTTTTTTGCCATTCAATTTTCCTCTGAGAAATACTTAAAAATCAATACAATAACCTCTGTGCCTGTGTCCGATGAAAATGAAAATGTGCAGCAGAGGTCCTCCTGGCCCCATTAAGTCTGGCTGATTAAGAAATCCAAGATGCATCCATTGCCTTAATGTCCTTCTGTAATTTCCTTTGTTTTTGTCTTTCAGTCAAACAAACCAAAGAAAAAAAAATCTGTATCTTTTTTTTTTTTCTCCATAAAACCAGAACCTTTTTATAATTTCACACAGCAAACGACTATTCCTGGATATGTCCATCATCGTAGCCCTGTAAAAAAAAATCAACCGGTTAAGCAAATTAAGTTAACTGGATGAGATGATGAAAATGAACAGAACTGCATACAAACAACTCCAATATTGACTGGGTATATTATTATTTTTGGCTCATCCAGGGGAATGCAATTACTCGGCGGGTTTTTGATTAGTCTCAGTCGTCCATCAGCGTCCCATCCATTGGTAGTCAAACCTCTTTGTTTAGATAAATAGATCTGTATTCATAGAAAAATAAGCATTGACCACACTGCTGGCTGTTCATTGCTAAGGCACTTGGCTGTTTTCAGTTACTTCTCTTCTTCTTGCTTTTCTCTGTCTGGTCTCCATCCTAACGTGTCCACCCAGCTCGCTCTAAACTTCGAGGCTGTCACAGTTCACGACTCTGTGTTTGATGATGCTTTGAAGAGCTGGTGTGTTTCACCTCCACGCAGGTCTTTTGAGAGCAATATTATGAGCATCAACGCCCACTACCACCACCACCATGCCGTCTCCCGCTAATTGTGGCGCCGAGTAGAAAAGCCGAGCCTCAGTACTTTAAAAAGAAAAAGAAAAGGATACTGTAGTAGCTGCAGCTGAAGTTTTGCCTCCAGGCAGAGATCTGTGATCAGCTACTCCTTGCCAAAAAACCAACCTATATGCCAGTAGTGGGGAAAATACAAAAAGTGACCTCAGCTCGTTATCCAGGAATAAACATAGCGTGTAGTGTAGTCCCGCTCCCCCACAGGCTCCTCTCAAAGCCAACCTCTGTACAGAAGTCATTGTTACTGAATGATTCACCACCAGAGAGAGAGATGATGAAGAGACAAGAGAAGATGGGTAGCAGGAAGAGGAGGATGAGGAGGGGGAGAAAGAGGAGGCCCGTTAAAACTGGTAAGAGCGGTCTAACACCTCCATGTAGTCTGGTGTGGTCCTCAGTCTGGCTCTCTGCTCTCCAGCTCCCTGTTCGCTCTGACTGCTACCACCTGGAGTGGAGCTCGTGGTGGTGGTGACCACGAGCGTTTGGTCGGGTCTCGTGTCCTGTTTGGAGTCTTGGGGGTGAGGGTAGCGGGGCGGGGGCCTCACATACCTATCTGGCAAATCTCTGAACTCAGGAGTTGGGAGTCTGAAGAGACAGTCCACCAGCTCCACTTTAGGAGTGGGGCCCTGGCTGTCGATTACTGTGGGGCACAGGATGCCGTTCCCGTGGAGGCCAGCGAGTGGTCCCATGGCTCCTGTAACAGTGTTGATGGGTGACGAGGACACCTCCAGAGCCCACTCCCTCTCCTTCTCTGCTGCAGAGCAGTAACCCTCCTCGCACTCTTTCGAAGCTGCAAACGTCTGTTGCTGCTGCGGCCGCTGTTTCACCGCTGCGTCCTGCTCATCTTTGTAGATGGGGTTGCTACACATGTGCGATGCCGCCGCAGGGTTAGGGCCTTTGGCGGCGGCCTCTGGGGGCAGAATGGTGTCGTAGACGTGGTTGTGCTCAGGCGGAGGTAGAGGCGGCGTCTCCGGGAGGCCGTGGTGATGATGATGGTGGTGCGTCTGCTCGGTGAAGATCCCGCACTCCATCTGGATGCCGGCCAAATCCACCTCTCCCTGGCGGCGGAACGGCAGCTTGTCTCTCCTCCTCAGGGCGTAGGCGATTAGTGCCGCAGCCGCAAAGAAAGCAGAGACAAACAACACAAGCAGGCTGAGCACTAAGACCGACAGAGGGATTGAATTCTTCTCCGGAAGGGGACCGACGCCTGAGCCGGGGTAGTCAACCGACACGCCTCTGTCTGCAGCCGTGGAGGTGGCCGTCTGCTCCTCCTGGTCCTGGTCCTCTTGAGGCTCCAGCTCAGGGCATAGCAGCTCCATGGAGAGGGATCGCAGGTCTACACCTTTGGTCTTATCCGGGGAATGGCACACTACCTCTCCCATCACAACCACAGCGCTGAGCCCCTCCAGCCAACGCTTCAGTGGAGCAGCTTCACAGTTGCACTCCCATGGGTTCTGCTGCAGGTCCACCTGGAGAAATACATTAAAAATACAGTGTGTTGTCATTGTGTAGTTATAGTGTAATTACTGGTCTGCCGTGCAGTAGATAATTTCCCTGACTTTGTGCTGAAGAATGGGCCGATGGCTCCGACTCCTATTTAGATGACAACCAGAAAAATGATATCTCTAACCCTTTCCAAGTAATAAGGTTTGGAAAATGAGTTTTTCAGAATTGATATAATGGCTCTCCACACTGACCAGTAGCTCCAAATTATTTTTAAAATATGCATGTGATGAATGCACAGATTATGTAAATACTCTCATTATAGGGTCATCAAAACACTAAAGTGCTTGCATTTACCAGATGATGGTGCCCAGGCTGGATATATCCTCAATATTCAACTCTTCCCAGCAGCGAGGGCTCTCATAGAAAAAAGTTTTGAATAGACACCGCTCAGAGTTTCTATATTAGTGCTTGTTCATAAAACTCACCGGCAGCTTTTCTGTGACGAGCGTGCAAGAGTATCACAGCACTTTGTTTTTAACAGGATGTGATGCAACTCTCCCCTGTGCTATAATCCAATAGGTATGCGTGCAAATCCATTTTCTCATTGCCAGCTATTGATTGTGCGCCTTAAAACAAACTCAAATATTCACTTTGCCGCGCTCTGAAAAGCTTAAAGCAGATTATGCACGAAGGGAATCACTTACATCACGTTGTATTGTCTACAGAACTCATCTGTTCCATATCTTTAGCAATGACATTGGCAATGAAAGCTGATATTCTCTCTGTCACACTTCCAAGGAGCTCGCACAAATGTTGTCATGCTAATTCGGTTAGGCTATCTCCCTGGCTTGCAGGAATAGATGGATGCGTTCCGAGATGATTCAGCATTGCTGTTGTGGGAGCCATGATACAGCTACCTCCTCATGCCTCACACTGAACAACCGGATGCTCCTTCACTTTATTGAAGTTAGCCCACTGTGGGCTTTTTGTGTGGCTTTCATAATAGCGTAATTGCAACTGGAAGGCGAAGAGAAACTATGCTGCAGTTTTCACTCACTCATATTAAAAGTCCACTGAAAAGCATCCACCGCATTACTGTGACGCATCTAGCCTCTAACGCAGCGCGAATGAGCAAAGTGACATTTTAAAGAAACACTGCATGACCAAAGTGTCAGTTTGTTTTTGCTGTTTCATAACTTTCATAATGACAGTCTTGCATCTGGTGGAAATTCTTGAAGCATTTTATTGTTTTCTTTCACGCAAATCCCAAAGGCTTTATCCCCTTCTCTTTTCAAAGCATCTGTCCAACACATCCAACACTGTTTACAATTTATACGCCTGGTCACCTAGTGTGCGATTTGCTGTCAACTTGTCAATCACAGCTTGTGTTGTGACAGGAAATTATAGACCCTCAGTTAGCCCGGCAGGTGCGGGGAAAATATGAGCGCATGATACCATTATGCACGTTCTGTGAACACAAAGGCTTGGAGTAAGTCACGTACACTAAATTGACAATAAAAAGTGGCACACTAACCAAACCGGCATTCATTGCTTTAATCCAGCCTGCGATGATATATTGGAAACCCTCTTTTGTCAGAAAATATATTCAGCCTGACTTAAATAAAAGACTGAAATGGCCCTGCTTTAACCGCAGAAGAGCATATTTGCTCTTGTGGGTTTTTATCATTATGACAGAGAGCAAAGATCAGGCAATAATCATCCAAACTTTATTTGAGAGCTACAAAAGAATTCACATCAGGGGAGAAATTCAGAACGTTCTTAGTGAGCCGTGTGCCTTCTAATTGATCACTTTGCCCAAACATCCTGTCAGTCATTAGAATTGCTCCAGTTAGTTCACAGAAATAGAGTCAATACAAGCAGGTTTTGGAAGTTCTGGCGCAGGGATTCTGCTGTAGTCTCTGGTGACGAGACGCCCCTGAGCTTCAGCTTGCCAAGCCTTCTCCATACTGATGAATGGGTTTCATTGTCTTTTGAATAACACACACACAGAGCGGACACGAAAAGACTGAAGAAGAACCTGCAGCATATGCAAAATTGTGTTTATTCTGAAAAACATGTACATTTAAAATCTGTCTTTACGGCTACAGTGGTAGAGTGTGAGATGCTATGCACAGAAAGCCAAAGAATTACCGTATGTCAAAGCACTAACGTATCGATGCTCTCCACTTACACTTCTATATTTCATCAGATTGTGGTATTGAGTGCACTCACACAGATTTTGATTTTATTCTATTTTTTGAAGTGTCGTAATTCATTTTTCATGGTGTGCTCGTGCTCCCTTCATAGACTTCTACCTCAGATAGCGATTTCCTATATTTTCCCGAGCGACTTCAACAACCCCTCGAGAAGGGGCATGAACTTTCTCTATCCAGCTGTTTGTGTTTCATGTAGCTGGAGAGAGAGCGGTAGTAATAGCACAGAGCAAAGAGCAAGAGTTTCTGGTCCACTGAGGCTGGTGTCGGTGAAGAAATTGGCATCTCTGCCTCCGTGTGATTGCTGAACATCAGCGCAACATGGCGAGCCTGGAAAGAAGCCCTTGATCTTTTATTCGGAGGGAAAATAAACACTGTCTTTTAATGCAGCTGTATGAGATATCTTGATTTTGAAATGTGCCGCAAACTGTTATTATGGGGACATGAGGGTCTGAGGAAAAAATAAAATAAAATGAGAAAGAGCACCCAGCGATGGAAGCGGTTCTATCAGCTCTTCCAAACAGACTGTAGACCCTAGAAGAAGAATTTACTTGTCACAGCTGCTAAAGATAGTTATGGCCATTTATTATATCTCCATATGTGAACACATTATGGACAAAAATCCCAGTTTCAAGTGCACAGTCACAGCTTCTGTGTTTAAAAAGAATTATAATGGAATTCAGTTTGTTTCTTTTGAAAACTCTTTGACAAAGAACTTAACTTTTTACTACATTAAGTCATTTTAATAGCTCTTTGGTAACACTGCCTATGTGTTTAGCTACCTACACATAATTTAATTTGAGTGGCTATTAACACGACATTACTCTTATCAATCCCACCTTTGTTCTATAAGAAATTTCACCTCACAGCGCACCTGCATGAGTTGGCATTTAATGCTAAATCAGAGTACTTAGCCAGTCAATGAGACCAAAGACGTCTTTTGTGCTGAAACAGAAAACACATCTTTTCAGAGCACCGTTTAAAATGATTACAGATGCTTTCACTTTTATTTAAAAAAAGAAAAAAAATGCCTTTCATGTGCAATTTCAGTTGAAATGCTGGCTTGTATTGCAAGAAAATATAACTTGTTTTCACCTTCATAAACATTCTGACTGCTTGTTATTGTGTTGAGAAGATTCCATATTTACATCTGCAGAAGAAAAAACCCTCTAAATATGAAGCTACAGCTAGAAGAGGCCTGAAAGCAGCTAGCATAGCTCTGTCCAGATAAGCAAATCCACCTACCACCACCTCTAAATCTCTCTAACACTTCACATCTTGTTTCTGTAATCCACACAGAACCAAAGTGTAAAAGCAACAAATGGCCATTTTACAGCTGTTATCGCCGGACAGAGACAGACTTGCTGTTTGTGTTTATATAAGTGAAACATGGCCATGGGCAAGTTTCTTCATTACGGCTGGCAATGACAGGGAAGCGCTGCTCTGCTGCACAATACGTCCTTTGTATTTACTGAGAAAGACATATGTGTTTCTGAACTGTACATATATTATTTCTGGCATCCTCTCAGATACTGAGTCACCTAACTCGAGTTTCTTTTAAGGTTCATCTGCTGTTGAGCTGCTATTCGTTTTCTAGTTAAGAAATCATAAACACCAGAGTGATTTGAATTTTTCTCCCTGGTGTCACGCTAATATTGTTTTTTTTAGTTTTTTTTAATTACACTGACATCAGCAGGGTATTTTCATATCGGTGTATATAAGTGGGTGTAACTGTATAATCCTGCTCTTGATGGTGACAATGACTCTAAGCTATACATGCTGCTGTTTTATGATTAACAAAATGGACTGCTTTTTACTGCAGCTGCGAGCTAAACCCCGTTTCCATCTGCGTTACCCTTTGATTTTTTTTTTTTCTGTGCAAACTCTGGCTCCAAAAGCACACGCCAGCGCCCAGAAATCCCTCATCCCGAGCTTCAAACAGGCCAGCAGTAAGTCAACAGGTGATATCATTGTCACATTATTTTACGTGGTCTATGGGCAGCCTTAATGTGGCTTTGTCAGAGTAATAACAACCCTGGTAAATGAATGGATTCAATTACTGTGGCACAGATTTGAGGGACTACAATGGTCGTACCACTGAGCTTTATGAATACAGCCCACTGTGTGCTTCCATTTGGTCAATGCTTTAATGCTCTTGGACATCAGAGGTGTATAACAGTGCAAAAGAAAAACCCATAATACACTTTTACATGGCTCCTCCAGCTCCGTGAACTACTGTCGTCCCTTCCTCGAGCAAAGATTTAGAAACAGCCTCTGAACTGCCAGTCTCACCCACACTACCTAGGATCAGGAATTTTGCATGGAGCAAAGAAAAATGGAAATTCACAATGACATTCGGGCTAATCTACACCCACCTTACCTCATTCTACTCGGGCTGTCTAAGAAAAGCCTGGTACACTAAATTTGCTGAAGTGAGAGGAAGCAGGATAAAAAAAAATAAATGTAACACCTCGCTTTCTGTCCTTATTGGTGCGCTGTGTATAGCAACCAGTCACATAAAGCTGCAGTCAAATGTGCGAGGTAAGCTCTCACAAAAAGCTGGATTTACCACATAACAGCAGTTTATACAGTCTATTTACTGAAAGGTACTTTAATTACAAGCATTCACAAAAACTTGAGAGGTTCAGCTTTCTCCAGTTTAGCTCCTGATTTATTAAGACCACTTATGCAAATCAAGTCAATTGCAATTTTCCAATTAGAATACCTGAGGCGCAACCATAGTCCCACAAGCCACAGCAGAGCCTGCAAAACAACAGACGCTACAGATGACAGAGAAAACTGCAGCTGTGCCAGAGGCCAGGAGACCAGGGGCTGCCAGAAGTTTTTAAACGTGGCCATGGCTTGATCCAAGATTTCAGGTTGTTTTGTTTATTTCATCAAGCTGTGATAATATAATGTGTCTTGGCAATCTATTAGTTCTTTTAATCTCATCGGCTGACATTTGAAATAAATACGCTCTGTATAATTATGCACATTTTTGTGTAGCAAATCAACAGGGGTGATCCAATTCAATAATCTCTATTTTTCCACCCGGCAACTGTCAGTCAGCAAAATACATGTTATTTGGCCTAAATTAGCTGAAAGCCTCATGCCAGGTATCTGACTCATTTGCACACACAGAGGTTAGCAGACCAGAATTGTCTTCTCAAGCATCCACCTGCATCCACACCGCCACAGCCATTCAGTAAATACGGTTAGTAATGTAGTCATTTACACTAACCTGTACCAGTCCGGTGAGGTGTTCAAGCACGCCCTCCATCGGAAGCTGTAGCAGGTGATTGTTTCGAAGGTTTAGGCGGGCTAGATTGACTCTGGAGAATACACCAAGAGGGAGACTCCGCAGCAGGTTGGCATTAAGGAACAATAACTGGAGGGATGGCATGGAGTCGAAAGTGCCGGGATCGACTTCACGGATCTCATTGTACTCAAAATAAAGGTACCTATAGACAGGAGAGAAGATGGCAGTGTCACAGACTTTACAAGCAAAGAGACTATCGGTATGTTGTATCTAAGCTGTATCTCGTCATTTCGTGATGCACTAAGGTCATTTTCCTTTCTGCATAAATTAGTCATTCCTTTTGATGCCTTTTCATACATTTAACTTCCAAGTATGTCCCGCTTCCGTGCATGGCAAACACATCAATGAATATTCATGTCACAAAGTCACACCAGAAATTGGATTTCATCTTCTCATCCCCTGTTCGCAGCCATAAACTGATCACTATCAAATAAAATTGTGTAATTTTGCACTGATGACTACTAACACTGGCCTTTGCGTATCAGATTATCTTGTTAGATCAAATTAAAAGGACTCTTTTTTTTTTAAATAACAGAAATATGTGCAGAGTACAGCTGGAGAATTCTCTGTGCATGCTAGTCATCCAGTAGTGCAATTGCTAGAATAAGTGATGGATCTGGTTTAAATGACTTGCACAGCTCCCTCACCATTAAGTCGCTAACAAAGGCTAACAAGAGGTTAAGAGGTAGACATTTTGAAAAGTCCAGAGAGGATTTTTATTATTGATTAATAGTCAAATAAATGGCTATGGAGATTTTTTTTTTCCTGAACCCTGTCTTTAAATATAAAATAGTGGAGCTGAAAGCCAAAAGGCTAAAAGAGGTCTTTGCAGTCTGCTCTGCTGTCTTCCTCACTGTTTAATGACTGACTTTGGATATAGGTTATTAACCAAGGAACTGTCTTATTCTGATGATGACATAAATATGCATCACTCTGACAGTGTGCTTTTATTTTAAGCTTTTCTTATTCTTCAAAAAAGAATCCTGGCAAAAAATCCAAATGTCTCACCGCCTTATCGACACCTCTGTATGCAAATACAACAAAAACCCATTAATTTTCACGTTGTCACTCACACCCAAACTGAAGCATGGCATCAGGCAGCGTGACTAACAAATGACACTTCTGGAAGAGACTGGGCACCTTCCATTTCAATCAAACTCCGGCATAATGGTAATCAAAATGTTCTGCTCTGTGCCGTTCCAGTATTACAGTGAAATTAATTTCCACATACTTATAAACAAATCTCTAAATACCTAAGCTGATGAGGTTTTAATTAATATGTATGTCTGAAGTGAATAGAAGTAAATGGTGTGACTGATCCAAAAGGTTCTTACCTTAGATTCTGCAATCCTAGAAACATGTGGGGGCTCAGCCTCTCCAGATTGTTTCCGTTCAGGTAGAGGCTCCTCAGGCTCGTCAGGCTGGAAAAAGCGCCCTCCTGAAGGTACGAGATGCGGTTGTTCCCCAGGTGAAGCATGTCGAGGCTGGAGAAGTTCCAGAAGTCTGTGCGGTAGATCCTCTGTATTAAATTTCCACTCAGGTAGAGCTTGCGGCCGTTGAGAGGCCGAGGTGTGAGCTGGGACACATTGAGGAAGCCATTCTCTTTGCAGTTGACGGTGAGACCCAGGTCAGTTATGTGCAGGTTGCAAGTGCAGCCCAGGGGACAGATGATGGGAATAGGGGGCCGTGTTTGGTAACCAGCCACCGGGGGATTCTGGTTGGGCATCAGACTGCGTGGCGTGGGGGATGTTCTGGAGGGTCGAGGCCTTTTAGTCGGCCTTGGGTGCCTCTCCCTGTCTTTACGCTCTGCAGAGGAAGAGGATGACGAAGTGGAGGAAGTATGTGTGTTCTGGCGGGAGCCGTGCACCATAGAGGAGGGCTTAGTTGGTCTGACTCGCCCAGGTTGGTGTTTAGAGTTAGGGGGCAAATGCTGGGGTTGTGATCCTGCTGATGGACCACTCCCCACTGCTTGCAGCTCTTTATCTGGCAGGTCGGCACACAGTTCTTTGCGGGGGATTTCCCTCAGGTCTTTACCGTGAAGGTGGAAGGGATACTCGCATGTAACATCCCCGACTACCGCCGTGTAGGGAATCTGACCCAGCCACTGCTGTAACTGCACTGCCTCGCAGCCGCAGTTCCAGGGATTCTCCTCCAGCTGTATCTCCATCAGGGAGCGGCCAACGTACTCCAGGGTCCCAGCATATGCCAGGCTCTTCAGACGGTTTCCCCGCAGGTCCAGATGAGTCAGAGACACGGATCTGGTACAGGAGGAGGAGGGATATAGTTTGCTAGTTCACATGAAAGGACACTGTTATAGTAAAATAAAATTCACACATTCCATCACAGAGGAGCCAGCATTTTATCTGATGATTAATCCATCTCTGATGATATGAAATAGTATGCCACAGGAACATTAATTCAGCAGTACAGCGTGACTAAATGTGTCAGACACTGATATTTCTACAGATCAGTCCTGGCATAATTTAAAAGCTCTGCAGTAAAATAATCAGAATCCAACCTAAACAGATGAGGAGGCAAGTTAGGGATGAGGTTGTCATTCAGGATGAGAACACGAAGCTTGTAGAGGAACCTCAGAGCACCGCTATCAATTCGTTTGATCACGTTGTAGTCGGCCTGCAGGTAAGAAAGAAAAGATGTGACGAATGAGTAATTGCTCGAATTGGAAAGTAAACTCAACTGAGAGCTCTCCGTTTGCAAAAATGCACAGAGATTTTGAGGAGATCCTTTCACACAGGCCACCTGCTAGCCATTGATTATTTCTGTCACAGCTATCTATAGTAATCCTGGACAAATTTGTCAATAATTAAGTCAATCGTGGATAATCGACACGGATTAACTCTTCGGGACTACCTGGAGGTATTCCAGAGCCTCTAAGCCGGCGAAGGTGTCATTTCTGAAAACCTCCAGCTTGTTCTCGTGGAGGTACAGACGTCTCAGTTTGGCGAGCCCGTGGAAGGCTCCCACTCGGATGTCCTGGAGAGCATTGTTGCCAAGGTTTATCGACACTGCGTTGCCAAGGTGCTGAAACCCGTTGCTATAGAGACGCCTTAGAGAGTTCCTCTGGAGGTTGAGTTTGAAAGGGCGGACCCATGACTGTGACACCTGAATGATTAATTAGAGGTCTGATTAGTTATCTTATTAATTACATAAATTTAGCAGTTAGAAACAGCCTTAAGCCACATTAGAGGCAGGATATTAGACTGGGAGATATATTAGATAATAAGATAAGTGACAGCGCAGTAAAGTGCAGCTCCACATGCGTGGCCAGACAAATGATGAAGAAAGCCATACCTGGCTGGCATTTGTGAAGCCCCGCCCATCGCAGTGCACGTGTAGCACACCTTCTTTGACCTCGCACGTGCACGGCTCGAAGCACGGCTCGTCCACTTCTTCCTCGGAGTTGTCCACGAGAGGGGTGTGTGTGGAGGTGGGGGTAGGGGTGGGGGTGTGCGACGCCTGGGAGAGACGCGCACACCCCAGGGCCACCGCCAGAGTGACCCACTGCATCCTCCTGCTTCTCCCTCTCAGCTCAACAGCCTGCGGCTACAGCCCGGCATCAGGCCTTCACCGCACTGCACGGTGAGGCAAACGCACACACAATGGCACAAACGCATTGTTAACAGAGGGCAAACAGCCAGGGAGGCAGCAGCAAAAGTCAGTTCAGGATGAATCAGATGGATGATACATCAGAGGCATACTAAAGCAGTCAGAAAATAAATGTTAAATCACACAGAGTGTAGTGTCATGGGGACGGAACAGCATTATAGTGGAATGAAGCTGTACAGGAAGGCCACAGTATGATATGATAGCCGTCAACCATGTATGCATGTGCTTGTATTCATAACAGGAAAACAAGGCTTAGAGGGTTTACAAAACCAGGACAAATTGATTTCAACACAAAACAACAGGCTGAAGAATCTCTCAGCTGCTACAATGTCTCTTTTGAATTAAAAATTCAAATGTTGACATTGAAAATGCAAAACAAAGGCACGCACGTGGGCTAGTTCACCTGTGAATCACGTTTTATCCTTTTTCCGAGTGGCTTTCTGAGTGCTGAGGTAGGGGGTGGGCAAAGCTTGTGATGAATGTATTCATCTGTGTTTTCAAATGCCGGGTGAAGCCGAAATGTCACGCATGTGTTATTTTAATGTATGCAATATGAATATGGGTGAATGCAAATCAGACTCATAACGCTTCTGTCTAATGAACTGCTCCATTTAATAAGATGAATGGCAATCCAGAGAACAGAAGGATGAGGCACAAAATACCCCATATTATCAATCAGAAAAATACGTTGGGTTATCAACAACCATCGAGTCCTGTCATAATCATTATTGTGATAATGACAGTGGAGTGAAAAGCTTTGCTGCAAAATCAAAACTCTTCAAAAAAAATTTCAAAAGGTGGGGGTGGTGTGAATCAGTGCGACGACAGGCAGGGACGTGAACTGACGGCGATAGCGATGATGGTCGTGACGATGATGAGAGCGGCGCGGTAATAACAAGAGAATGAGTTGCAGAACTCCTGGCACAACAACAAAGACAAGAAAAGCGAAAAACAGCTGAGATTGTGAGTGCTGCACGGGGATATTTCCTCTCGAGTCTTAATGAGATCTAAATTGGATAAAGCATCTCGATCTGCTCATACAGTGTTGAACACTGGCATGCGAAATGCAATAATGATCATGATGGTATGGTAGCTGTAATCATACAGCAATAATCTAGCATCAGCGAGTTAGACAAGGAGGCAGGAGTGAAAACATCACCGCCCGGGAGAGGAAGAGCAATCACGGAGATGATTATGACGGGGAAAAGATGAAGGGAGAGGTAGAAATGAGAAGAGGAGGAGGAGGAGGAGGAGGAAAAATGGGAACAAGGGGAAGGGAAGGAGTAAAGGAGAGGCAGACATATAAAGGAGGAGTAATGTGCAGAGAGTAGGTACAAAAGAAGAGGAAATGGGTGAGGTGGGAGAGAAGAGTGGGATTGCATAAGCAGCAAGAAGTCAGTCAAGGCTGCCACTCAGGATGAGAGCTCACAGTGAAACAGCTGAAATCTGATATTGATTACATCAAAGCCCTCCTCTTGCCCTGCACACAATGTACGCCCGCCTCACAGAGAAACTGTGCTGGAGCCAAGTTTCATGCGTGTGTGTTGCACACAATGTGAGAAAGGTCAAACCATATCCAAAAAGTAGGCTTTTATAGCCTGCCAAGTACAGAAACAGGTAGCTAGACACGTGTAGATGAGTGTGAGCTTTCATAACAAACCAGTGTAATGCTGCAATACTTGTTGGAAAACCTCACGATTTTAAAGGAAGAAAGCATAAGGAGAAGTGAAAAACAGTCATCAGTGTATGAAAGTGTTCAGAGCATCTGTGCTTCACAGGAGAAAACAGGCTTACATGCTCAATAGTTTTGGACAAATTGGAAAACAATACAAAATACTGCCCATTCAGAGTCCCACTGGGTCTTCAGTCTAGATATGTATTGTTTATTATTGGACCGTGGCCCCCCTGTATAGAGGAGATCAATACAGAGTCCAGATAGACCACTGGGATCCATCCTGTTAAGAGTCTGCTTTAGTGGATGGGCATCTCTACCTAATGAGAAGAAACACAGTCAAGCCTCTTTCTCCAATCAGCCGAGTGGACTAGTCAGCAGTCGGCATAGCTCTGCATCATTATGGTAACAAGAAACGAAAGGACTTAAGCACTGACTGGTGGCAGCCCAGAACTCTGCCTGTGCTTCTGCGTGTGTCTGTCTCTGTCCTTCTGTCTTCATGTCCATCTGAAAACCGTCCTGACACAGGTGTGGCTTCCCTCCCTGTCTTTCTTTAGTCTCTCTGAGTTTTTTTTTTCCTTCTCACTCTCCCCTCTCCTCCAGACCTGCACACTGACGCAAGCGAACCAGAGATGACAGTCACTGCTTATTCTTCACCATATTATTCATGTCACATAATTCCAGTCTCTATCTCTCTGTCCTCTCTGTCCGTCAGAATACACACTCACCAAGCTTCACACCGGCTTTTACATGGGCCCCTGCTCTCAGCACAGATCTGCACTATCAGGCAAGCAGCAGCATCACTGATCAAATGTATGGGGATATGAGCCTGGATAGCTCACAGCCTTTCAAGAAAATCAATTAGCCCCTAACATTACGCACACAAATTGTAATAGTTAGAATAATTAAGGCATGACCAATTAAACAGCCTAGTCATTAACAGAACCTATTAAGACATTTACCAGGCTATGTATGAAAATCCTTGGCAGAGCAACGCAATCCAATTGCATTCCTCATTGTCTGTCTCTCCTCACCAGCCTCTCTGATCCACACAGCGACGCTTAGCAGAGCAGGGATGCGGGTAATACTCACTCAGTCCGCCGCCAAAGAATTAGAGAACGACCGAGAAAACACTTTAGAGGCTGACTGTCGACATGTCGTTCACATTCAGCCGCACTCTTCTCCCTCTCTCTCTCGCTCCCTCTCTCCTCTCCTGTAGCGGCTGAGGCGGATGGGGAGGGAGGGGGGGACCAGAGCGGGTGGGGGGGGAGAGACGTGATAAGACTGCAATGAGGTGGAGGATAAAAACCGGGAGAGAGAGAGAGCTAGAGAGAGAGAGGAAAAGAGGGAAAAAAACGATTGGCTTTAGGATGCAGGTCCGCTTCTCCACAGTGCAGCCCGTGGGAGCTGCGGCACTGGTCTGCTGAACAGACGTGCAATGCGCGGAGTTGTAACCTGGGCGTAATAATGGAGAATCCTCTCCTCATCTCAAAGACAACTAGGTAATTCATAGAAGGGAGGGGAAAAGAGGGGGGCAGGCGCCGGAATTAATCATGCAATAAGGCGGCTGCCCTGCTAGTTTTTATATGAGGCACAAAGCGCGCAGGGTGGGTTCCTCCTCACCAGAGGAGCCAGTTCAGTTCCTCATCACAAACAGATTACAGGAGACACAACAGAGTCACAGACAATGGGCCCCATAAACTTTCTCCTCACGTTGCCCGGTTACGCATCCCGGTAAAAAAAAAAAAATACCCCGACTGTTCAGCTATACCGACAATAATTTATAATCTCATTAGTTTATTCATCTCTCCTCTCTTGCCCTTAAGCACCGACGGATTTCGTGAAACCGGTGTGTGTTACCATGGCGACTCGTGCCAGCTGGCTTTCGTCGTGCGCGCGCGCGCGCGCTCGAGGACGCACACACGCGCACACAAACACGGTACCGGTCGGGAAAACTGTGGTGACTTCTATGAGGGGGGCCGCAGCGGAGATTACAGCGAGACCCAGAAGTTTGTGCGCGGCCTACATCAAAACACCTGTCCTGCCAAACGGGGGTGGTGGGCGCAACAGATGCCGCCCAGATCGAGAGCAATGAAGCCCCCCTACCAACGCTGAATTGAGCTCCCCACATCAGCTAATCACAGCCTGCTAGGTGGCTGATGCTCCATCGATACTTTCTCTAAGTGGCGGCTATGGAGCCCCCGTGAAGCCCGGCGTCTCCAGCGGACCAAGGGGAGGGTCTCAATAAAACACCCCATGGTGCCATGGTTTTGAAAACACGCATTCAAAAGCGTTCAACTATCAGTCAGCCGGTTTCATGGCTATAGGAAAAGATTTAATAACAACATGTCTTCCACATTACTGAGCTGAAAGTTCAATTTTCAGTTCAATTTCACATTGATTTCAGCGTGCATTAAGGTGAATAACCTTGAGGAAATGGAGAGGTGCATTTCTCCCCTAGTGCTCTCTTTCCTCTCTCTCTCTCTTTCTCTCTCTCCTTACAGGAGTAAAGATGGGGGGGGGGGGTCTCTGGAGATTCCTATCAGAAACAGTAAGACGGTTCCAGTAATATCAGGGAGATGTAGATGATGGTTATAGATTTCAGGGCTCTCAGGTGCATTAGTCTGTATTACAGCTTCCCCACAAGGCTACTTAACGCTCACTCGCAATGGAAACAGGCTGGCTGATGCGGGGCATGTATGCACAGCCACATGAACACATGCATTCGTGGGGATTGCTTACTGAGGCATGCACACATTTAATTCGCCTACACCATGCAGGGATGCTTGTGTTTATAAATAAGCTTCAATCACGCATGGGGTTTTTGTCCTGAGATATTACTTTAATCTCTGTGACAGGGGTAATGTGATGCCAGACCTGGGGTTATTACTGTCCACCTCAGGGCAGAATGCTGCCCGTGATGGAGAATTTGGGAGAAAAACACTCTTTTCTCACAGAGGTGTTGTTGTTGAACCGTGGAGGCTCCCTAAATTAAGAAAACAAACGGAGAGGAACTGAGTGAAGATGGTTATCAGGCACCATCAGATACCTGTGTGTCTGTTCTCTGGGGGCAGGAGCCGCTCTGAGCACATAAAGTACTTTTTTAGAGTGTTGACGGGGCCTCTAAAGTAGGGGATCTATTTATACTGGCCTAGTGCTGTCTATGGAGCTGTCCAGTGTTGAAATGGATGGGGAGTCATGCTGTTTCATTTGAGCCACTTCTCCTTTCTTCCTCCTCCGCTTGCTCCTTCTCCAAAGGCTTTCCCTTCCTCTCATGTGAATTATTTTCTGTCAGAGCATACTTTTCCTTATTCCTTATTTAATACACATCTTTTCTTCCTTCCTTTCCTTCTCTCTCCCCTTCTTTCCTCGTTACTCTCTTACTTTGATTCTCCTGTGGGCTCTTGTCAATTCAGTCTGGTTTACTTGCTTTGATTTCTTCCTCCTTTGTTTTCCTCTCCCTGCTCACTCCATCTTTCTTTCCACCGAGAACACATCACACAAAGTGGTCATCCCAGTTTTTGCAGCTCTTTCCAATTATGCCTTCGCTCACGCGATCTCCGGCGGGACTGGCTTCCGTGCGTGAGGGCACACAAACTCAAGACTTAAGAACGAGCACCAACAAGAATAAGGACGCAGATTATTCCTTGGTCGAAAGAGCTCCTTAAAGCTACATCTTGCTCACATAGCGTTGAGTCGTCCCCAAACACGTGTTTGAGTTTCACTGGGGCCTGCACTGCCCCCTAGTCTCTGCTTACTCAATGCGATGAGGCAATCAGAGATGCAGGCAGAAGTATCATGCACTCTGTGGCAGGATGTGGAAAGCAAGTGAAAGAGAAGAGGGACAGAAGGAGCGAAAAAGGGAATAAAACAAGCTGAGTGTGGGAGGGAGACAGTAAGCATTTTGGGTAAGGTTGTGAGGGTTGGCTGAACATGTAAAGGGGGGAGTGCAAGAGGGAGCCAACAGATAGACGGAATAGGTATTTGGAAGGAGGGGGAGGATGGCCAGGAGGGCAGGTGGTTCTGTCATTAGCTCCAGATTAAAGCAGAGGGCAACTCCAAAGGCCTCACCTCTGATTCACACAGTAGTACTGCAGGCAAGGACAAGCCTCCCGGGAGACATAGCACACACACACACACACACACACACACACGCATGCTGGAGACACGGCAGTGATTCAAAGGATTACTCACAGGCTCACGAACACACACATAAACACACACATAAACACACACGTATAGGCATATATAAAACCACCACCCCTCCCCATCCTCATTTACACACGAGATACACCGTGACTCACGAGAACATGCAGACTCCCACACACATGCAAACAGTCATGCCACACACACATTCTCTCACACACACACACACACACACACACACACACACACACACACACACACACACACACACACACACACACATCATTGAACTAATTAATCAAATCTCCTGTTTTAATTAGGATTCAAATCAGTTGCTATGGGAACCTTGCCCTCTCAGAGTCTTAAGGTAAAGGCTGCTGCTGCTGCTTCCCGTGACTCAAGGAAGGTGTCCGAGGGGGACACATTCATATTACCTATGTTGATTCAGCTGGCTGCATTCTACATTCCATTTTCACGCAGACACATTTTGCGGGGGAGGCCTGAGGTGCCCGATGTGAACTTCAATTTGGGCTCAGTCATACAGAGGGACCAAAAAAAGGCGGAAAATTATGATGGCTCACGTTGCAGCCAAACTAATACAATATATTTTACCAGGAAAAGGCCATGTGTGTTAGCGTTAAAGGTGAGGTTCACAGTCTGTGGACGCCCGTCCAATCGATCACCAGCTCAAGCCTGCCATTTTTGCTCCGAAAGTTTTCGCATGGAGACACACATAAAGGCACTTTCACAGAGTTTCTAATACGGTGCTTATCCTTGCTATTACCACGGCCTTGCAATTTTGGGTGAGCAATCGCTTTGTGCTCACATGCCTTGTCCCAGTGACAGTGTTTTCACAGAGGCTCCATTAGTGATCAGTAGGATTTGTTTGTGAAAATCACTGTCAGAAGAATCAATATTCCTGCATTTGCGTTAATACTATCCAGACAGAGGAAATATTTATTCAGTGACTAATTCCTGAGGTCTAATTAAAGCAGTGTGCATGCTTTAGTGTTAACACTGTTTCATCTCACAAGCTGATAGACTCTTATCTTAAAAGACTGGATGAGAGAGCTCAAAGTGTAGCGGAATCACGGCGCCTTCATCTGTCCAGAGAGCCTTAATATCAACTCAGGTGAAGGCCGGACCTGATGAATTAAAAGAGGAGAGGATGCCAAGTGAAGCCATTAGGATCCAGGAACTCAGGCGTGTGTCTGGCTCGCCGGTTGTCATGGTTGCGGTGTTTATCACCTCTTTCTGCCGACAGAAGCCCAGGGGCAAATCAGATTGGCTTCAGACAGGGAGGAAAAGAGAGAGTTGGTGAGTGAGGGGGAGGACATATTGGCACAGCGGAGGGGGGGAAATGCCAACACGCTGCTGAGTGAAGGCCGAGGAGGAGCGCTGGACAAATGTCAACGTGGCTTATTCATAGGATGATGCTTTTAACTCTTTGACTGTGACATAACATTTGAAGTAAAGGTATATTAGACCAATTCAGTAAACCCTCGCTTTAGGTCTTTTTGTTAACATACCCAAATGCTGTAATGTGGGGAAATAAAACTTTCTTTTTTTCCCCTCTTGTTATCTTCTCATCTGTTGTGGTAAGTATCTCCCTGCAAATGTGCTGAATGCATTAATGCACATCTTAAAAGCTCTTGGCATTTGATGAAAACAACACTAAAGGATAGTCCTCTAATGGAAGTCTTAAAGCTAGATAAACCTCAAGGATCTGGAGTAAATCCCCCCCCCCTGCCCCCCTATCCCCCGTGGCCTGTGCCTGCCACCTAGTGGTCCCTAACCCAATGATCCATATGTGAAGACTTCACAAGTGCAACCTGTGTGGTAAGGCAGTTTTTCTGAAGTACAGATACTATTATTATTATGTCACTAGCTGACAAGACAGCATTCACTTCAAAGAGCTCTGAGAGTTCATGTTGCATGAGGAGATGAGAAACTAAGACATTTACCTGTTATGACAAGCGGCCGGTAAGATATATTATCAATCTATTGGTCATAATCATAAACAGATGTCTGTTTGCATCCAGGTGGCTGCCTGTCGTTGCCCGTCCAGGGCCTGAAGCTTGTTACAACGTAACCGCTCCTGACTGCTCAGCGCACACGTGTTGACATCCAAACCACGCCTCCTTGTCTCTAGAGCCAATCATCGGCCGTCATAGTTCAGCGCGTCTTCCTCTCAGCAAATCACAGCACTCGTTGTTGCTGTGGGGGACATTCGCAGGCACCGAGGCCCTTCTGCTGTCGGCAGAGAGAGGTATGGCTTCATTGTTTTTGACCGGCTTCGTGAAGTATTTCTAAAAAGAAAAAAAGAAGAAGTAGAAGTAGATTAAAAAATAAACACTCCGGCTCTATTTCGTTTGTGTCAAATACCATCTAACAGAACCAGACACGGCTTGTTAACATTAAATCCTTCCTCTCTCACTCGTGTTTCCTCTCAAATGTCCACTTGCTCTTGGTGGTCTGTGAGATGATAGGTTCAGGTTTCGCTGCGGGCTGGTGAGACAGGGTCGGATTTTAGCTGACATCCAGCTGAATAGAGCGAAACCACCAGACAGTTGTATGAATAGCTGTATTGTGGGCGCTGGCTAGCCGGTGTTGTGTGTGTCCATATGTGTGTGACAGGTCAGTTTCACATCTATAGGCCCACGCCACAGCGAGAGTCTTGGTTAATCTGTGTTGTTTTAGACGCAGAGCGCTGAACTTTAGCTTTGTTTTTTCTCCCCCACACTCGTATGTCAGGTCTTCATCATTGCTTTGTCCAGGCTTACACGGTGTGCTGCCGCGCTAAGGAGTAAATTGCCGTTGACAGCGACTTGTCCTGTTGTTTGTGGTCGCCCCTGGCTGTCAGCCTGCAGTGCCAGAGTCTCGTCATCTCTGTCGAGGATGCCGCAAACAAACAAGTCAAGAAACGCCCCGGCGGTTGAGTCTCCGGGCTCGGTCCAAGTGGGAGCTTCAGCAGAAGCTACAGAGCCGGCGTCCCAGGAGGAAATTCAGGCTGCCGGGGACTCGGGAAGAGGGGGGGAAGCTGAGGATAATGTCGGTGACAGAGAGATCATCAAATCACCCAGTGACCCCAAACAGTACAGGTAAAAAAAAAAAAAAAAAACTCTTCTACCGCACAGTCAAGCATTCCTACCAGATTCCCATGAGGATTTAAATAATTCATTATACTGTTTAAAAAAAAGGAAAAGTTGCATGATTTATCTGTTCTATTATGTATGTTATTCTCACTCGAAGGTATTAATAGGATTTCATGTGTAATGAAATACATCTTGCTAAAGTTCTGCATTCATGACTGTGAAAGTGCTGACAAAACGACCCAGATCCACTAACCCAGATCCAAAAAGGATATTGAGCCTCCCATCCAGCTGGATCAGTGCAATATTATTGTAGTCTGATGGGATGATTTCATGCTTTAAGCACAGACCAGTGCCTCAGGCCTCTGTGGGGCATGGATGGAATATTTGCTGTGAAAAAGCACAGCACAAGACGGGCTGAAAGGGTATAAGATACAATCTGCAAAGGGATAACTGTTAAGCTGTTAAGAAAAAGCAGTGAAGGCTCTAAAACTCAATTGATACCACAGTGCTTCTCCTTGTGTTATCTCACCTTTGACTTTACTCTCCTCAGGTACATTGTGTTAGAAAACGGGCTGCGAGCTCTGCTCATCTCAGATTACAGTGGACCGACAGAAGATGGAGAGTCAGATGAAGGTGAAGAAGAAGAGGAGGAGGAGGACGATGATGAATCTGAAGATGGATCAGAGGATGGGTCTGAGGAAGATGACGAAGATGAGGGCATCGATGATGAAGATGATTACAATGAGGGGAAAAAGAAGAAAGGAAATGCAGAGAAACAGGTACAGGAAACAAGAGAGCATTTCATATAGACTTTATTTATGTTTTGTAAAACTACACTGTTTGAAATAATGTAAAAAAACAAATTGACACCATTACTCCACACACTATTTAAGGTGCATCTTTTATGCTCTTCTATATTTTCTGCAACATGTACAGTGGCTAATACTCTGATGAAATACAGCCAGAGTTTCAAATATTTAGAGTTCAGGGTATGTGCTCAGGCTTGAGACTGCACTAAATGCTTTGTTTCAGACAGCTGTTTTTATATATGATCAGTGGCAGATCTAGAAAATGTTCCATGGTGGGGTAACGCAAAAGAGGTGCAAGAGATCTAGCAGTGTGGCACATACCTCTTCAGTGAAGCTTGTGAAAATCCCCTATAGGTAAATAGAGTCAACAAAATACTTTAAAAAACACACTTTAGTTCTATCATTATCTCTTCTAAGAAAAGAAAGACAAGTTTGATTTTTTTACAAGCTTTAAAGTAGAAAGACTTTGCTCACGCCCTGCAGTACTCACTGTCAAAACAATGGCAATATTGCACATTTAAAAAGTATTTTAATAACATAAAAGTTGGAGTGGATATCTCAACGCTCAGAAGCTCCACCCACCTGATGTTCAAACCTCCTTTTGCAGATACGAACCAATGACGAGAAAGTTGGCTTAAAGCTACAATGTTTAAAATCTCACCACTAGATGTCAGTAGATTGCAATCTACAGAATTTTGTTTTCTTTCCACTCCCGATTCAAGTGTATAATCTTAGCTACAGTGGCCGCTGTAAGACAGACAACCCTTGCTGGGGTTCATCTGCAGTGAGTATAGGGTGTCGGTCCTCTGTTTACCTCAGCTGTCAATACGCCAGGTGTCTACATCTATTTACTCTGGAGGAGGCTGTAAAACTTCGTGAAAGGAGTCCGATACAAATCGATGAGTCAGTGAAGCTCCTGTTGGTCTCTGTTAGCTGCTATTAGCTGCTGTTAACTTTCTTTGAAGTGGCTCTAACTTTGTTGGATTGGGGCAGTTGACGAATAAACTGAGAATGTAATCAAAGTCTTTATCAAAGTGTGAGCTTTAGAAAACAAGACTAACGCTAGCTGCATGTTGTTGTTGACAGCATCTCTGTAGATGTGAGGTTCGCATGTCTAATCTGCTGATAATAAGTAATTGCGACAATATCGGAATGAATAAGCATGTTAATGCACTGTGTTAGGTTGGGTGTGTTAAATCCTTGACTTAATTTCAGGAGATGATCGAGGTGTTTCTTTGCTTTGTATTTTCACTTCTTGGTGAAGGCACACCTTCTCAAATGATAAAAAATAGTTGTGATAGTTTCAATTTTGAGTTTTATGATATGCAAATCCCTATGATTTCTCAATTCCTCTGCCTTTAGCAAACTACGTATGTGGCTGGTCTCTGAGCCATATACATATATGCGCTTATGCACCATCTGCATTTAATCATTAGTTATTATTATTATTCATCTCTGGCTCTCGTCTACAGCTTGTCGTTGTCTTGTCTTCCTCCCCTCATGCCAACCAGTCATGGCAGATGGCTGCTCTACCCCGAGCATGATTATGCTGGATGTTTCTTCCTGTTAAAATTGAGTTTTTCCTTCCCACTGTCGCTAAAGCTCTTGCTCATAGGGGGTCATGTGATTGTTGGGGTTTTCTGTTTTCTCTGCATTGTTGTTGCGTCTTTACCTTACCTTATGCATCAGAGGTGTTATATGGGCTTGTTTCAGATGGTGGATGATTGGAGGGTCTCCACTAATGCCTAGTATTAGATCAATCAGAACTACCCCAGTGCAGTAAGCATCAGGAGCTAACACTACTTTAAACATGTCTGTACCTGAAAGTTCTTTTCATATATTGCTTTTGGCATTTAAAAGATAAGATTAGTTTTTGATATTGTCAGCTAAGGCCATAAAACTATCAAACTCAACAATTTTGTTGCCTGCGTCTCAGTACTTTATTACATTGGTTTCTGTCTTTATGGCCTTTTTTGGCAGCAAGATAAACAGAGTATCATTCAAGTTTTCCCTGAAGTGCAATGCCAGACTCAGATATGCCTCGATATCCTGTGTTTCAGTCTGCGGCAGCGTTGTGTGTTGGTGTGGGCAGCTTCAGTGACCCCAGCGATCTCCCCGGCCTAGCTCACTTTCTGGAACACAGTGAGTAATTAATCCAGTAGACAAGTATTGTCATCTTTTTAAAAAAAAAAGTTTTCATTGTTCTTTAATTCAGTGGTTTCTCCGTCCCCAGATACATCCTCAGATATGTTTTCAATGTTTCCTATCACACATCCTAATTTTAAATGCATCCTTGTGTAGTTTGTTTCAATTATTTAGTGTGCCTCTTAGCCTTTTTTGTCTCGTTCAGTATCAGTTAACAATATGTGACATTTCCCAGAATATCCATCTCCAGAGGGACCAGATCTACCCACTGTGGGGCCACAGGGCAAAAAATGAGTTTTCAGGCTCTATTTGACCCACTTTTCTGCCTGCTCTCTGTGCATTATGCATCTAACTCATCACTTACAAATGCCCATTTACTACATAGAATGCATGATAATGTATCCCAAGATACAGTAAACAGCAAACAATCCAGCAAAGATTGTTGTATACCAGTTGCTTTTGAACATTTGCAGCTTTCTCCTACTGAATGTCCCTTTTTTAAAAACTCCTATACATAATATAAGCAAAAATTAATGTATTCCTGCATAAGGAAAGTCTTAGAATGTGAGGTGCAAATAATTAATTTACTACCAACCAAGTGACGCTACACTGTTCGTGGGGTTTTGGGGCTCCTGGAAATCTGGGGCCTGTGGGTTAATGTCTGCCTTGCCTTGCTGGCAGATTAACTTTACATCACCTACAAGAACAAGGCAAGAAATCACTGCATTCACTATGAGGAAGCAAGCAAGATATTTTTCAGTTGGGGGAAAAAAAAAAAAGCTAGGCTTGCACAAAATGCCACATAACTTCAGAATTGCAATCCAATCTATTGATGCTACTGTCAGCAGAGAAATTGCTATCTGTCTCCTCTACCAATTGTGATTGTTGAACATTGTTTCCAAATGATCATTCTGAAAGGAAACCTTTTCTCATGCTGTCACCAAATATTCCCGGCACTATTTAGAGTTATGTACGCGGCTTCATCTGAGACAGAGTTATCAAAATTCTATTAAAGCTGAGCCAGAAATGTGATGTGTTATTGTCTGCATTTGTCTCATTGTCCACATAAATAAGAAAACGACAAAAGACACATCGTGCAAGTAGCTTTAATAGATTATTTTCTTTGGATTCCTTTTTTTTTGATGATTTGTAATCCCTTCTCTCTTTTCACCCTTACTGTGATTTCGTTGTCGCCTAGTGGTGTTCATGGGCAGTGAGAAGTATCCATCAGAAAACGGCTTTGATGCTTTCCTCAAGAAGCACGGTGGGAGCGACAATGCCTCCACGGACTGTGAGAGGACCATCTTCCAGTTTGACATTCAGAGGAAAAACTTCAAAGAGGCTCTTGACAGGTTAGGAGTCAGTTGGGCTTTTTCGTTTTTGGTTGTTATCTTATTTTTCGAGCAGTCATCCTTACGAGGTGGTGAGGATTTACAGGTAAACACAAGACAGAAACAAGAAAAAGGAGAATATAAACTCATATGAAGCAACGGAGACAAGTTAGAACAATTAACAATTAGTAACTAGACTGAAACCAAAGACTCATAGAGGCTATAAGGGAAAATCTATGGTCTAATCCAAACAGTAAGGCACTTAACATGCTAAAGCATAATTTACCAAAGGAAAGTTCTAGCAGACCTGATGATTATATTGTGAAAATGTGTGGCACGTTACAGGCATATTCCCTGTTAGCGCTCGCTTTTACTCTTCAGTCCTAATATTTTTGCTTTGTGGAAATAGCCACCGAGACATCATCCATGGGTTTGTGGACTCTACATTTTGAAACCTCACTATTGCAGTTTTGACTGCCGTTAAACCATTGTGTCCAAATATTGCCAGAAATGACCTTATTTTGATCAGAGGGTGGTTTGGCAAGTTATCAGCTAACCATATCAAATTTGGTTAGCAAGCTGAATTCATAAACTGAACGGGTGAATCAAAGGGACGCATTTACCTGGTAATTATAGTGGGAAGTAGGAGACGAAGGAAATGCTTTTGGACACTGCCAGTTTGAATTTAAATTATGTCTAAATCCTCTTTTAGTAATAACTTCAAACTTTAAAGTTACATTTAAACCACTGGTATGTCTGATGTTGCTCCATGTTTTAGTTAAATTATGGGTTTAGTTCAATCTACACAGTGTGGATGTATAAAGTAAGTGATATGAAGTAAGAATAGTGATGTCATATATTCAGATCTCAGAGGCCGATAGATGTAGTGTGGATCATGGTGTGCACTTGGATGTTGTTTGTCATGTGTGTCCATCTACATCTAAATGTTTATGTCTGATCTGTGCTCTGTCTGCTTCTGAACATTACCGCTTTGTCCTGTTGTTCTCAGGTGGGCACAGTTCTTCATCTGCCCCCTAATGATTCGGGATGCCATTGACAGGGAAGTGGAGGCTGTTGACAGTGGTGGGTCTTGGTGCCTATGTGCATCACTCCTGCATTCTGAGAAATTAATCCTGGTTCATATAAAGTGTTTTAGTGCATTTTCTGCATTTTTTTTGTCCCATCTTACCTTTTCCTGTGTCCCTCCGTCTGTCTATCAGAGTACCAGCTGGCTAAGCCATCTGACTCCCACAGGAAGGAGATGCTATTTGGCAGTCTGGCCAAACCTGGACACCCTATGGGCAAGTTCTGCTGGGGTGAGTTAGTAAAAACAACTGCTGGGACAAATAATACACGCAGGGCCTCCTTGGGGTATGTTCAGCAATAACAAACAGGAGAGCTGAAACCTGCACCAGTTTACCTGCCTTCTCATATCCCTGCATGTGTTAGGGCTCCTCTCTGTCATGTATTATGTTTGTCACTTGATTGTTAACTTGTCACAATACCAGGGAATGCGGAGACACTGAAGCAGGAGCCCAAAAGAATGAAGATCAATGTGTATAAGCGGCTGCGGGCCTTCTGGAAGAAATACTACTCTGCCCACTACATGACTCTGGCTGTGCAGTCAAAAGGTCAGGAAAATCATTCCCATTTATTATGCATCAAGAACTAGCCGATTAGTAGATTGACAGAAATGTAATTTGTTTCAATAATTTCATACACCAAACGAACCGATTCATTGAAAAAGCAATCTGTGGATTAATCAAAAATTCAGACGATCATTATCTCAAATGAGGATCCACTTCATCCATGTTCAGCCAACTGTAGATAATCATTCCCGAATCAGCTCGAATTGCTGTATTACTCAAAACAAAGTCACATACAAAGTATCTAATGTATTTTCTTGGTTTCACAGAAAATATCACTCAGCTAATTAACTACAGCATACAAGTAAAATGATGAAGTGTTGACATTTGGTGCTGAGAAATGCCATCCTCATGAAACACTTACTCGCCCTCAGTAAAATTCACTCTTGTTGCATCTCTTTTGTTGTCTAAGATTCTGCCAGTGTAGAGGGATGCAAAGGTGTTATAGTAGATCGCTAATTGGAGTAAAACAACCGGAAATATTTATAACCATCATTTCTGTTGGAAAATGATGAAGCATCAAACTGCTGAAGATTGCAAACACCTTTCCTTGCAAGGTTTTATAATATAGGTTTTATAATATTCATAAAATTGCACCTTTTTTTTTTCTCTTCGCTCGCTTCAATTTTTTGTTCACCTCTAGCGCTTTGACTTGCTTGGTGCAGTAATATATGTCTGCACCTGTGTGCATTAGGTCATTATGATGTCACTACATTGCACTAATCATTCTGGTTGTGTTCAGAGGTGAAATTAACCTCAGGCATCTGACCAGAGAGTGCGGTTAAACTTTTTCAACCTATAGGCCAAAGGATTTTTGCTTATAATATCGATCAGTGTTGCCTGAAAAAGCTGTTTTTAGGAGCTTCCATATCAGCAAGGGGAAACATCTGTTTTGAAGCCCAGCTGAACAATCCTTCCTGGTTTTTACATCATGTTTCATTAAAGAGTCCATCCATGCATCTATTTTCTCGACTGCTTGTCTGGTTCAGAGTCACAGGGGAGTTGGTGCTCATCCTAGCTGTCACAGGGCGAGGTTGCCAGCCTGTTGCAGGGCCAACACAGAGAAACAGACGACCATTCATGCTCAAATTCAAACCTACAACCAATTTAGAATCACCAGTTAACAAGCATGTCTTTGGACTGTGTGAGGAAGCCAGAGTACCCGGAGAGAACTCATAGAAGTGTAGAGAGAGCACAGAAAGGCCCCAGCTGGCTGGCAAATTCGAACCAGTAACCATATTGCTGTGAGGCAACAGTGTGAACTGACTGTTGACTTGGCACAAAAGAAGGGATAAAGAATAAAGAAGAGCATTGTAAACAATTGCTCCTTTGTTATTGAATTAAAATTATGTACTCTAGTCTTGAAAAACAACTTTGACTTCCATTTAGTAATTTGAAACATGCATAGGAAAAAGCTGTCACAATTAAATTAACCATGCTTTACATTAAAATGTTTGTAAAAAAAAAGGCTGCAATGCAAAATACAAAAGCTGCATCTCATTATACAATAATGTAAAAGCTCTAAATGTAGGCTTTTAGTTTGTTTGCATTAGCAATAATTAAAAAGGAAGAAGTCTCTACCTTATTTAGTTGGAAACACAGAAAGTCGTGAATTTTCATTTACATTTTAGCATTAAATTAAAGCATGTAAAGCCACACTGTAACATAGTTTCTTTTAAAGCAAGCATTTTAGTATGTATCGTTACTGCACTGACTTCTCCCCAAATCTAAGTGGTTGTTTTCAGCCAGAATAATTGAAACGCACTCAAACTCTAATTTATCCTCCTTCACTCACTGCGTCCTTTAGAGAAGCTGGACACTCTGGAGGAGTGGGTCAGAGAGATCTTCAGCAAGGTGCCTAACAAGTGAGTATTCAAGAAGAGGCTCTCAGTTGCTGTGATGAGAAGCTGGCGCTATATAGATTGAGTCTCAATATCCTTTGCTCAAATGTAAATGTCAAGCCTTTTTACCATCTCTTTCTCCGCTTTCTTCATCTCAGATGCTTTTTTTCTTCTTCAAAGTGATGCACCTGGAAGGGATCTCTTCTCCCTAAAGCGGAGCTGAGCTGAATTAGTGTTTTTTTTTATTTTATGTTTGTGTTTTTTTGCTGCACCGCTTCCGTATGCTTTATGAGTCATTGCAGAACCTTTTTTTAGTGAATCAGAGTCACTGTTACACACATAAAAAGCACATAACCTCCAGTTTTTAAGGCTTTCATTTCAATTAAAGGATTACATTTCCACATGCTCACATCTATCCTTGTAAAATTGCCTGAAGTGACTTTAACTTCTTTAGATGAACTAAATTAATTTTCATCAAGCTTTAAATGAATGAAAGGATTTTATAGCTCTGCCTGACAGAAATAATGTGCTATTACTTCCCCGATTGTGTAAACAGTAATTGGAGACATCCATCCTCAATCTTATACTTGAAACCTTTTCCATTAACTGTTTTCTATGTTACTTAAAACATAAGGGTGGGTTGAAGTCGCTTTAATTACGTCTTGGAACTGTTTAAGTGATGGTATTGTTTTTGTGTTTGTAGTGGTTTGCCCAAGCCAGATTTCTCTGATATGCTGGATCCTTTTGACACAACGGCTTTCAGCAAGCTCTACAGAGGTACTGATACACCTTACCGGATATCTCTAAGCACATCTGGTGTACTGCAGGTTCCCACATATAAATAAGCCCTAACAGGTTATGTAAGTAGTGGTTCTCAAAGTTGGACCTTTGGGTCCTCCATAGATCAATGACTTGTAGCCCGGGGTCTCCAGAGTAGTTTGTCATCATTAATAAAAACATACTGTCTCATTTAAAATCTCATATCCAGTTTCAGACCATTTATTTAGAACAAGCACATTGGATCCATTACTGCCTTCTACATTTGGGCCAGTAGAAGCCCTGACATGATCGGGACACATCCTGTGAAATCCTTTGCTTCTCTGCTTATTAGCCAACTGGCTAGTTATTGAGCACAAAGAAATAATTCACTTCACATCTTGAAGTGACACTAATCCCAAAACAGCTTTCACTCAGTCCCTGTGATGATGCATATAAGACATTTATAATGAGTCCGGATGTATTCAAAAGAGCCACTGAGGACCAGAATGTGTAATATGTCAGCTGAGACGAGTTACTCGAGGCTGTCAAGCTGATTCAAATTGCAGTTTTAAAGGGGACTTGTTGTTCTCATTTCCAGCTCCATATTTTTATTCATGGACTCTGCTAAAGTAGTTTTTCACATAGTTAAAACTGAAAATGAGTAGAATGTACAAATATTTTTTATTGTGTACAGGGACTTGTTGCTGATGCTCAGTTTATCCACTTTCTTAGACAAGCAATTTTGATGACATTAATGGGGTTATCATTTATCACTGACATACAGACCCAAGAATAGTGGAAACGGAGTGTTCTAGATGGCTGAACAGTTGGGAGTAATTGGCAGAGTTTAATGTTAGCATACGAAAATAAGAGCATGCAAAATAGGCCGCCTTTATGCAGTTTTATTTAAAATATATGTAACAGAAAGAGGAAAGAGCTCTGAATCAAAAAACCAGTGGTTCCATTTGCTTTTTCTGTTGATGTCAGGTTTACTTCTCCAGGCCAAGTGTCCGTTTGATTCAGGTGCTTGATGGTGTTTCTCCACCTGTTTGCATTCACAGTTGTCCCCGTCGGGAAAGTTCATGCACTGAATATCACCTGGGCTCTTCCTCCTCAGGAGAAATACTACAGGTGAGCGCCATGCAGAACATATACAACAAATATAGAGTCACACAATGCTCTCCATCTCTTGAGAGAAATTTCATCAAATTCTTTTGTTTTGTTTTTTCCCCACGCATGTATTTGATTTGCATTGATGTCTCTTTATATAAATATAGAATTGGGTCAGCCAAAAGATACCATGCTTTTCCCCTGATTGTAGATGGATTGCATCAATGTTTTTTTGTTTCTACTTTTCATTTTCGTCAGAGTGAAGCCTCTCCACTACATCTCTTGGCTGATTGGCCATGAAGGCACAGGAAGCATCCTCTCAGTGCTTAGGAAGAAGTGAGTGTTATTGCTTCTGTCTGTTTGTTTTTCTGATTTGAGGGCACTCCAAAACCCAATTAAAAGCTCTTCAATTTGCTGGGTATACATGAGCTCTTTTCCCCGCTCTGCGCCAGCCCTGTGTGTTTGAGCCCAATCTTCATACTATACACTTTGCCATCCCACTTGACAATGTGATTCATACGTTCTCATCTCTGGATATGGCTGTACAAGTGCATTTCAGCCTCTTGTTGCTAAGTGGTGAAGTGATTTACCAAACCTTGTGTCATCCCACGTTACCAAGAGCCCATCCAATGCTCCCTTTACCATCAGCACCACTTGGATAGTGTAAAAGAATGCTCCTATTTAGTGTTTATGATCCTTTCAATTGTTGATAAATGACAACAGTGAAATTTGAGTGTACTTTGACTTAATTCCCAAACTGCAAAGGCAGTGGAGTGGTTGTTTTTATTGAATTCAGACAATCCTAGCAAAAAGGGCCAAGAGACGGGTTTGAAAATGGGAACATGTTGTCCTCCTCTGTCAGATTTGGAAATGATCTCTATGTCCGTCTGTAGAACATTACTGATCAGAGGCCTCAAATTATCATACCATGTTCTTGCTGATTATTTACCATTGATAAATCCATTAGAAATACGCCATGTAACAGTACATTTTTGTAAGTGCAGTATAAAGACTGCAGTATAGAAAGGTTTTAGATTCCTCCTAGTAGCCTATTCTGATACAGAGCAGACTTCTCAACCAAACTTGTCCTTTAAGTGCATCATCAGATGAATGAAAGATGTCTTTATACTCTTAAAACAACTGAAGTGTTCACCTTGATTTATGGTCCAACAAGTCTCAAATGTGTGTAAGCTGTTCAAATGAATGATTTAATATTACATGTATTTTTGTGACTGTTCACTCACCCAGTAGAAAGTGAAGTGTTTGCAGCCAGGAGTCATCAAGTGACATGTCTTGAATGCCCTCTATTTATTGTTCATTCATTTTACCGCATACAACAGTGAGTAATTCTTTAGTCGAAGGCCTATTTGTGGTAATTTATTGTTATGTTTCTATGTTGCATTTTCAAAGGTGCTGGGCTGTGGCTTTGTTTGGAGGAAACAGTGAAACTGGCTTTGACCAAAACACCACCTACTCCATCTTTTCAATCTCCATCACCCTAACCGATGAGGGTTTCCAAAACTTCTACAAGGTAAAGAAAACTCTTAACATTTGTTATTTCCTCTGCATTTCTTTCAAAATAAAAAGGAAAAAAACCTTGGGACTGGGCCAATTAAATTAATCAGCGGTTTAAGCATCAATCTCCCACGCAAGGTTTATTATTAATTGTCATATCATAAAGAGTCAGGTTTTCTTCATTATTAAGATACTGGAAGTAGCTGGCATACAACAGTTAAGGTCAAGGAAGCACTGTGCGTCAGTTGCTATGGCAACTCTTGTATTTAACACAAAGGCAGTGCCTGATAATTTGACAAGAGGACCATTTCGTACTCTTAAGTATGCAATGGAAAAATATCCTGTTCACCGTTACTGAGGTAATTTCCGTATAAATACTTAAACAACCTCAAGAATATTGTTTATTTGGATCAATAGCAGAATAACCTCTCAATTCACTGACAAACTCACAAGAGTTTTATGGATAATAATATGAAATGAAGTGAAGTGTAAGAGTTAGTGATATATTTCTGGTGGTACACCTGAACAAGTCGATCAACTACACAATCCAGTCAGTTACTGAGGTTCAACAGGAGGTAGTAATGGAAGTACTACACACGACTTTTGTTTTTCCTTGCTGTCGGATTAGGTTTAGACATTTTTTAGTCTTCTGTTTTTTTTGTGGGAAGACTAACAATGGAATTAGGAATATGTAATACCAGTGTACTAAAGTATGTATATCGTTTTGTTAAGGGCCAGTAACTAAGTGCATAATCATGATGATCTGGATCTGGGAACACCTTCAGTTAGTTTGCCCTATGGCGACAAAAGCTTACTTTTGAGGGATATCCAGACAAGACTTTCCTGTTGACTTGTTACTTATTATAAATGGTGAAAAGGCCAATATAAAGCTTTTGTGAAACAATAGTTAATGGTTTCAAGATTTCCTTTTCAGCAGATAAAGTCCTTTTGAACTTCATATGAACTGCTTATCTACAAAGGCTGCTTAAACATTGTTGGTCAATGGAATTTTAACTACAAAGGGAAACCTTACAACCTTCAAAAGTCTTGTCACTCACTTGGTTATATACCTATGCGGACTTTGGCTTATATAGATTAGCTTTTTTTTCTCGTCTTTAAAAAATTGTTCTTTAAATAAAATGACTTGATTAGAGGGATCAGCAGACTCGAGGTGGATGACACTAAATAGTGTCAAGCTTGACATCAAAATTACAGTGTGCCATTGGATTACCAGTGACATGTCTCCCACTTCTCCTCCTGTTAGACACACAGCAAGCCAACTTAATATGAAACTGGTGCCGGCAATAAAAACCTCCTGCAGTTCAGAAAAGTGTTCCCTCACAGGTTTAAGGCTGTATTTGTATAAGGGGTTAACTTTGCTTGGAGCTTGCCTTAGGTAGCCCATAGAGTATTACAGAAAGCATACAGCTCTCATTTAAGTAAGTACAATTTATTTATATAGCACTTTTCACATATAAAAATCAAAAAGTAAAACATAATAGCAGGCAAAGAGCACCATAAATACAAAAAGGACAATTTCTTTTTGTATTTATTATGAGGCTACTGCTGGCTAACTTGACTAGCATAAAAATGGACACTGACAAACAGCTATTCTAGTGCTATTCAAAGATAACAGAATGCACCCCACCATTCATGAGCATCTCATATGCTCATGAATAAGCATGCTGCTTCTTACTTGTACAGTCTTCACAAGGATTGGGGATTGTGCCACAAACTGTGTACAGACACTAGTGGAAAAAAGATCAGATTTTGCAACAAGACTGAGACCATAAAAATCTGCCTGTATTTTTAAAGTGTCTGCTTCGTAGCTGGTCTTGGCAAGAAACAGTCTGGTGCATAATTCCGCTGTAATGAAGATATTATGTATTAATTAGCGAGACTATGAAACCATTGGACTTTCCAGTCTTTGTGCTAGCTAAGCAAATCAGTTACTGGCAGTAGCTTCATACCTGGTGTACTACTATGAGAGAGGCATCAATCTTTTTTATAACTCTGGGCAAGGAAGCAAATGCATATTTCAAAATATCAAAAGGCCCATTTAAAATTGATGTCTGGAGTTAGAAAATACTAATTTTAAGTTATTGTAAGTGATTTTTTACTTTGTCACAACTGATGAACAATGGTTTTGTTCAATGGTAATAATTATTTTTTTACTCTTACTATTACTTTAACAGAGATTTGATATTTTCATTTACATGTCTGATTCTCTAAAAGTGGGATCAAGACATGTATTACTGAGCTGTTTAGTATTCTGAATGAAACCACTTTTTCCAACTCAGTTTTCAGAGCTGTTCTAATGACTATAATCAGGTAACCATAGTTAACATGATTGGCAACTTCTTTTTGGCATCACTGTAATTGTTATGGATCATAAAACTTAACAATACCTCCATATCGATTGATTGCAGAAAGGAAGGAATCATTTTTTGCTGGAATTCTACTAACAATAAATGTGGTTATACACTAATAATTTGCTTGTCTGTGGCTTTTAACAGGTGACTCGCCTCGTGTTCCAGTACCTGAAGATGTTGCAGACACTTGGACCACTGCAAAGGCACTTTCTTTCACTCACTTTCTCTCTCACTCACACACACACACCTTCAAATCAATCTTAACCCTCAAACAGTGCTTTAAATGGGGTCTATAAAAGTGAACACAGGTCCACCGGTCCTCATTTTTCCAAAAATATCCTCACTAAGATAGGTATATTTCTCAGTTTGAAATCAAATATACAACATGGATTTTCTGTCTGTTTGATTGTCTGACTCATTGTGTAGTTGTAGTAAATGCTGCTTTATTTGAGATAGTGACAACATAATATGTGTGGTTGGCTGTTATTTGTATATTTATGGTCTTATTATTTTTGTTATTATTATGTTCCTTATTCTGTCTTAGAGAGTGCTGGTGTTGTGGCGTCTAAGCAATTTTATGAGGTGAATAAAAGTTGTAATTCTTTGTTTCTGTCTGTCTGTGCACTCAGGATATATGAAGAGATTCAGAGGATTGAAGCAAATGAGTTTCACTATCAGGAGCAAGTAAGGCTAACAGCCTTCATTAGTCGCTGAGTTGCCGTGTTTTGGACATGTAGCAATGTATCATTGTTATTATCAATGAGATTGTGTGAGTAAAGCCTCTCGATTTTGATTTTCTCTTTGCCAGATTGATCCTATAGAGTACGTGGAGGACATTTGTGAAAACATGCAACTGTTCCCTAAAGAAGACTTCCTGACAGGAGATCAGTTGATGTTTGAGTTCAATCCAGAAGTAAGTAGTTCAGTAGTTCTGGGAGTGAACCACTTTCAGGGCTTTTATTGTAAAATGCAAAATGTCCTTTTTTTAGATAAAGATGTTAATGAAACAGGTCACTCAAAGGTAGAAAAATATAGATGTGTTTCTCATCGCTCCTTTAATGATTTTGTTTCTAATATATTTCTTAGAGCTGAGATCCTCTTTTCTGCTGGTGGATGTTGTTTTGCATCAAAAGTTACAGTCTAATTGTGGCTTTGCATATTTTTTGTGTTAACGCCTGTTCTCTTTTTTTGTCTCATTGTTTTTGGCTGCTAAAACTGTCTCCCATTAATGTTGATGTTCTTTAGAAAGGGAGGAAATATGATCTCTCTCTGTGCTGCAAACATCTTTTGATTTGATTTTGTGTGTGTGTGTGTGTGTGTGTGTGTGTGTGTGTGTGTGTGTGTGTGTGTAGGTGATCAGTGCAGCTCTGTCTCTCCTCACCCCTGAGAAAGCCAACCTGATGCTGTTGTCACCAGAACATGAGGGCCAGTGTCCCCTCAGGGAGAAGTGGTTTGGCACACAATACAACGTGGAGGGTGTGTGTGTGTGTGTGTGTGTGTGTTTACTGTGACTGTAGCAGTTCCTTCGTACATTGTAAGCGTTCAGTGAATACATTGTCTTTTTTTCCCTTGTGTGGTGGTATTCAGCCACATATAAAGCAGAGCCAGCAGTAGAAATGCCAGCATTTATCTCTGTCTTTTATATGGCAAACAATGGCATTGGAAAAGCATTTAAATTAAAATATAAAAGTAGAGAGTTCACTTTATTCAGCAGTTGAATCAAATTGGCAAGTATTTCTTATGTGTTAATAGATGTTTAACCTTCATACAGATATCCAGCAAGAGTGGATGGAGCAGTGGACAGGAAACCTGGAGCTTACTGCTGACCTCCACCTTCCTGCAGAGAATAAGTTCATTGGTAGGTGAAGAAACTTCTTTTTTGCATTATGGGCAAAAAAGTAGGTCTTTCTGGCCTAATCTGCTGCATGCTGTATCTGAAAAGTGTCCAATACGATGATCTGGACAAGATGTGCTCCAGCAGTTTGGACTTCAGCTCTCCATTAATCCATCCACGAAATACTGGTAATCAGATATATTGACCAAACCTGGAGGAACTGAGTGTTTTTGTCAGTGTATTTTGTCATTTCTAATGCTCCCTTGTTAGTCACTGATCTAGCTGAGGTGTATTAATTCAAGCTAAAATTTGTGAAGTCAGGATGGTATTTTTCACTCTGGGGGAGGTTGAGTGATTTGAAACCCCATTCGGAGCATTTGCAGTAAGTTTTCTCCCCCTTACCTCGGCAGTTATTAAAGCAGCAGTTAAATGTTGTTGCACAGCATGTTTATCCTCCTCCTATAATTTAAGTCCAGGGGAGAGAAACTTTGCTTTTTAGAAGTGGAGTGTTAAATTAGCTCAACCCATATTTTGACAACAGCGCAAGATGGAGAAAAATGTTTGAGAGATCACAATAGCTGTGTCGGAGGAAAGATGGTCCTGTTTTTGTTGGCTTACCCTTGTATAGCTTAACTGATTTCATGTGTGGTAAATTATGTATTTAATACTATTTTATTCCAGGCTTTTCTTGTTGTAGTCTAGCAGAAATTCTTTGTTTTTCTGTACAAATCAAGCCACAGCTTCTGTTGGAAAATGAAAAACTTAAAGTGCCACAAACTGTAGTTCCTCGAATGGCCACTTGAGGCTGGCTTCAAAAGCAAGTTAGTCCCCATAAACCAGAGTTAGAGAACTCCAGGCCTCGAGAGCCGGTGTCTTGCAGGTTTTAGATCTTACCTTGGGTCAACACACCTGAATCAAATGATTAGCTCATTACTAGGCCTCCGGAGAACTTCAAGACATGTTTAGGAGGTAATTTAGCCATTTAAATCAGCTGTGTTGGACCAAGGACGCATCTAAAACCTGCAGGACATTGGCTCTCGAGGCCTGGAGTTCCATACCCCTGCCATAAACAGTGTTACCAGCTTTAGAGCACAAATACACTTGCTTTCAGCCTGGTACAGAACACCACATTGGTCTTTATCACTAATTTCCCTGTTCATGGCGGGAGTACAGGGAGTACATTTAGTTGAACTTCGATTTTAAGTTGTATTAAGGCTCAAAATATAAGCGGATGCTGTCATCCTGTGATTGGTTTTTATTAGAGGGCACACTCTGAGAAGTCTCCTGCTTGTTTTGTTTTATAACCTTTTTTTCCCAGACATATTTAAATTCCATTTAATATCACATTGAATTATTGATGCATCTTGATAACCAGACTAGTTAAATATTGCTATCCATATCTGATCAAAAATCAGTCAAATCAGTCTGTAGACGCCTACGTTATCCATGATGCAACTCAACGCCTTGCAGCTTGGTCAGACATGTAAGGCTAATTTGACCATAAGCCTGTGGCTTGTGGTTATGGGGCAAGCATGGGAATTTTTTTTTTTTTTTTGGACCTGCAACAGCAAAATGCCCCCCAAAAAATACAGTTGTGGAAAAAAATAAGTATTCAAGATTGAGATTCAGTTTGGGGGATGATCCACTAATAAATAAAGGTTATAATAATACAACACCTAACAAAATTATGGAAAAGTTACAAATCAGTTTTGAACAACTTGTCGTTATAGTTATAAAATTTCACTGTGAAATAGATTAAATCCATCACTGTCTGCATTTTCAAACGTACCACATATTTGGCTACAACAAAATGAACGAATTTTATTAAATGAATTCATTTAAAAGTAGAACGAAAACACATACAGTTTATTAAGTGTATCATCATAGGGCCAGCTCCTGTAATGTACCAGTGGATAAAGTTTGGATTGTAAATTCAGACTGATCGGCACAAAAATGGTTACACAGCACCAGTTATATTTGCTGATTGCATGGATTGAACGGTGTATGTTAATTAAAGGTCAATATTTTAATTTAAACACAGAAAAACAAAACACCTCTGGCTCACTTCTGGCCAAATGCAAAGGTTGATTCATTCTGTCGTTGCAGTTTGCTTACAAACTTTGTAAAGTGACAGACCCACGCGGCCAGCTTTACTAAAAGCTGGCCGCTTCACTTTCTGGCCCAAGGGTTTCTGAATCATTTATTGTGGGGGTAACATCTTTCTCTGTGTTGACAAGCGACTACATGTTTATCCCTAAACTGTATATAATGAATTGTCGAAAGTCCACGCATTATTTATGAGGCTGCACCGAGTGGAATGGTGATTTATTGTGTGTGTGCACTTGTTCAGCCACTGACTTCACCCTGAAGCCCTCTGACTGCCCAGACACCGAGTTCCCAGTCCGGATAGCCGACAGCGACAGGGGCTGCCTGTGGTACAAGAAAGATAACAAATTCAAAATCCCAAGAGGTAGACTGTGTGTTAGTGTGTGTGTACTTGTACTGTGTGCATCAATTAGCATGCAAGATGTTACTTTAAAGGTATTTAATGTCATTAGGGAATGGTTGACACCTGCTTGCTCTCTCTTCTTATTTAGCCTACGTCAGATTCCACTTAATCTCTCCAGTAATCCAGCAATCCGCTAAGAAGTGAGTTTAAGCTCAGATAAGAGTTTGTGAAAATAAGTGTTTGTTTTTTGCTATGACCTTTGTTAATGTCTGCTTTTTAATCGTCTCTCTCTCTCCCACTGCCTCCACTTATGTCTTTTTGTCACTTTTACCCTCCCTCCCCCACGTTTCTCCTTCCTCTGTCCTTCCTCCTTCTTTTTCTATTTTGCCTGTTTTTTTTCCCTCTCTATCCTCCATCTCATCCTTCTTACCTCCTTCTGTACTATTCCCTGCCCTCTCTCTATTTCACTTTTCTCTTATTCTCTTTATTTGTCGCCTTCCTCTTGCGCTCCAGTGTGGTCTTGTTTGACCTTCTGGTAAACATTCTGGGCCACAACCTGGCAGAGCCAGCCTATGAGGCTGAAGTGGCCCAGTTGGAGTATAAACTGGTTGCTGGTGAGCACGGACTGGTCATCAAAGTTAAAGGATTTAACCACAAGCTTCCTGTGAGTAAGCATACATACACACATAGATAAACAGTTTGGATGGTGGCATGTTGCATTTTAGGCTCTGTACACCACCACAGGGGATTTTAAATCAAACATTCAATATACAGCTTTAATTCAAGGGGCTTTACAAAAATGTTGCTTAACTGTTTAGGAATTATATCAATTTTTATACATAGTCAACATTTTTAAAGGCTCGAAGTTAATTGGACAAGCCGATATAATTTTAAATTCATGCTTGGATAAAAATCCTTTGCAGTCAGTGAGTGCCTGAAATCTACTTGAGATGGTCTGCCAGGCTTTTACTGTACCCGCCTTTAGTTGGGACTCGCTGCCTTCTGTTTCGTCTTCAGTAACTGAAAACCATGCTGTGTTGGGCTGAGATCAGGTGACTTACTTGGCCATTGAAGTACATGCCTATGTCTTTGTCTTGAGAATCTCTTGGGTTGCTTTTGCAGTATGCTTTGGGTCATTTTCCCATTTTAACTGTGAAACAGTATCCAATCACGTTTGAAGCTGTTGGCTAAATGTGAGCAGAGAGCATAGCCCTGTACACTTCAGTATCCTCCCTGCTACTTCTATCAGCAGTCACATCATCACTAAACACTACTGACCCAGTTTTACTGGCAGCCATACACGCCAAAACATTGCCGCCACCATGTTTGACAGATAGCGTGGTATGCTTGAGATTATGAGCCGTTCCTTTCATTCTCCATACTTTTGGCTCCCCACTATTCTGGTACAAGTCAAACTTGGGTTTATATGTCCAAGAAATTTGGCATATTTTCTGGATAAGTCGAATCTGGCTTTCCAGTTCTTATGTCTTTGTCACCTTGTCATAAACCCGCTATAATCACATTCACGAAGGTGTTTCTTGATTGTAGATTTTCTCAATGACATGTGTTGATTTGGAAGCTCTGATAGGTTTATTGCAGTTTTTCAGTGTAATTATGGACTCCTTCACTTGAATCATCTCTTTGGAGCTCATGTTGACGATTCCAGAGAAAAGACACCAAATGCAAGTCCAACAATTGGAATAAGCTTCAGCTTTTGATCTGCTTAATTGTTATAAAATAACAGGAAGTGGGCCTCAGCTGGCCATAAAAATGTCTGTCTGTGATACGTTTATTTTAAAATCCACTCTGTTGGTGTTTAAAGGCTAAATTGATTTTAATCTCAAAACAGTTACAAACACAACTGTACGTGTAATTGTTTTGCATACATTAAACCACAAACTGAATAAGAAAGAATCTTATGTAATGTATGTGTGACTTGTTGACCATGTTTTTGTCTGTAGTTGCTCTTTCACCTGATCATTGACCACCTGGCAGATTTCTCGGCCTCCTCTGACGTCTTCAGCATGTTCGCAGAGCAGCTGAAAAAAACCTACTTCAACATCCTCATTAAACCTGAGAAACTCAGCAAGTACGTTGCTTCCCCATTGCTATGTGAGATTATCGAGTGTATGTTGCCTTCTAGTGGTGAAATGTGTGACAGCCCTAAATAGAAGAGCCTCCGGTCGTCACCGTCCTCTTTTATCTTCTCGCTCTCATCCTTTTTTTCTCCTCCAGGGACGTGCGCTTGTTAATCTTGGAGCACTCTCGCTGGTCCATGGTGGACAAATATCAGGCTCTAACAGCTGGTTTGACCACTGAAGAGCTGACGGAGTTCAGCCGGAGCTTCAGAGCTGAGCTCTTTGCAGAGGGACTGGTGCAAGGGAACTTTAGCAGTGCAGTGAGTGGACAGCAGACAGCACACAGACAAGCATACTGATTGACAATAATATTAGCTGATTAGAGTGAATCAGTCAACGTTCACGTCTACTCTTGCCTCAGTTGCTACTGGGTGTACTTGACATTGCCCTCATGCTTGGCTGATTGCCTCTCCTCACTCTCTTTCTCTCTTATCTCTCACTATTCATTACTCTTTATTGTATTTCCTCCACAGGAGTCTGTGCAGTTTCTGCAATATGTCACAGAGTAAGTCAGTTATTACACTGAATGCACTCCCTAATGAGAACACCAATACTATACAATCAAATAGATTTGTTTGCTATAATACGCCGTGATTCACATCAGCTTCAGTTGTTTAGTCCATGATTCGCCTTTGCTTTTTTTTCCCTCTCTCCTCTTTACCTTCTCACTTATTTTACTCCCTCTCTCCTCGTGTCTTGCCTGGCAGTAAGTTGCAGTTCTCCAAGCTGACAGCGGAGGTACCGGTGATGTTCAGAGTGGTCGAGCTTCCACAGAAGCACCACATCTGTAAGGTCAAATCACTCAATAAAGGAGACGCCAACTCGGAAGTCACTGTTTACTACCAGGTATACACACAAAATGTACATGCACGTCTACAGGTCATCAAGTCGTTTTATCTCTGAAGGTTTATTTTTTTACGCACACAAATTCATTCCCATTTTCTTTCTGTTTGCGTTTTATTCAGTCTGGCCCCAAGGCTTTAAGGGAGCACACGCTGATGGAGCTGTTGGTGGTGAGCATTACAATATGTTGCTTCTCTGTTTCCACACACTCCCTCTTTGATGCTGTCATCCCTCCATTGTTGACTGAGTTGTTTTGGGGGGGTTTCAGATGCACATGGAGGAGCCCTGCTTTGATTTCCTCAGGACCAAAGAGACTCTGGGGTGAGTTTCTGCTGCGTTCGATAATATTTTTCTGTTCATTTAAAACCAAATTTCTGAAACTAAGCGAAACAGTGAGTTTTTCCATTCAAATTAGCATTACACGCTAATATTTTTCTAAAACTAGAAAGCTGCAGTTAATTTGATTTATTTGCATTTGTCCTAAATGTGCTCCATATGGAAATACACAACTTTTCAAAGTAACTTTCTTAATATATCCAGTTCTCTTCCTCTTTTTTTTTTTTTTGCCATTTTGAGGGTATTGAAGTTATTTTATGTGAAAATCAAAGGTATGCAGAGAAACTAACCTTCTGTTTCCACCTACACGTCTCTGTCTGTATTGTATTTCATTACTTTGCCTTCTAGAAGGAACAAGTCTGTGCCGACCTTGTTAAGAGACTGTCGGGTTTCTGTTTGGTGTGTCTGAAATGTGGGAGCTAGTAATATTTAAACCTTTGCCAAGCTGCTCTAGTTCTACTGGGACAAATGCTTTTCACATTGAAATTCAGTTTTCCTACTTGCCAGACTGGTTTTATTACAGAGTGCAAATCAGATGTAATGCAGTTTTTCATCAGCTTATTTCACCCGTATTTTCTCTAATCCTAAAGCGTTCTTTTTGTCTCCGTCTGCAGATACCATGTCTACCCCACCTGCAGAAACACCTCAGGCGTTCTAGGTTTCTCTGTCACAGTGGAGACACAGGCCACGAAGTTCAAGTGAGTCTGCAACACACAATGGAAACCTTTAATTTGCCCAAAGCAAGATACGATTTATCTTAACACTTTTCCCAAAACCAAGGTAAATCTATCTTGCTATTCATCCAAACCCAAGCTGCAATTTATCCATGTGGCCATGGAAAGTGAAGCAAGTGGAAGTGATAAATGACTAAAGGAATCCAATGCTTTCTATACCCTACAATATATCTCTTACCTCTCATCTCTCTCAGCACCGAGCTGGTGGAGTTAAAGATTGAAGAGTTCTTGACTTCATTCGGAGAGAAGCTCAATGCACTGACTGAGGAGGCCTTTAATACTCAGGTCTGCGTAAATGTGTTTTGTTTTTTCTTATTGTATTCATGAGTTTCCCATTCTTATGGAAAAAGGTACAGAAAATGCTGCCTATCCAGAAATTTTCTAAATGTCAAAAGTTGTATCTCATTCCATTAATAACACATTTCTGAGTCATGTATAACCCGGCTGAATGCCTAAATGTGAAGCTGCACTGTGGAAGAAGTGACTAGAAAGCCTGTGTGCTCGTGTTTTCTGCAGGTGACTGCTTTAGTGAAGCTCAAAGAGTGCGAGGACACACATCTTGGTGAGGAGGTGGACAGGAACTGGGCAGAGGTGGTTACGCAGCAGTATGTGTTCGATAGGCTCAATAGAGAGGTGAGGACAACACGATGTTTAAAATAACGGCTCTGATGTTGTTTAAGACGTGCTCGTGCTGCTAAAGTAGTTCTGAGCCGTGACCTTGATGACCGTGGGACAAATCCTTTGGTTTTGAGGGTTGTGGGTTAGTGCCTTTTTGTTCTGGTGCATTACAGGGTTGCAAAACATTGTTAATATAATTAACAGAATGACCAATGCTATTCACTTGCTCTATGAATGTATTGCTGCTGAATGGGAGTATATTCTCACATAATTGCAGTCGCCTTACTCTTAACAGTTTGCCCCAACTTTGTCATCTAGACTCCACTATGGGCACATGTATGGTCCTACCACGGGTCCTCCAATTTAGTGGAAGTCTGGACTTTGTTTGGGACATTGCAACAGCGCATTCTTTTCTTTTTCAGCCATTCTGTTGAAGATTTGCTGCTGTTCTTGGGATCATTGTCCTGTGGCGTGAGCCCAGCTTTTGCTGTTAGCTGACAGATGGGCTCACGTTCGACTGTAGAATATTTTGGTATACAGTGGAGTTCATGGTTGACTCATTGCGGTCCTGTGGCTGCAAAACAATCCCAAATCATCACCTCACCACCAACGTACTTGACAGTTGCTACGAAGTGTTTGTGCTGATGTGCTGATTGGTTTTCACCGAGTGTGGTGCTGTGGATTATGACCAGATATCTCCACTTGGGCCGTGTCTGGACATTGTTCCAGAAGTTTTGTGGTTTGTTAAGATGCTGTTTTGAAAAGCTAAGGCTTGCAGCCATGTTTTTTTTATTATTATTATTATTATTATATACAGTAAAGGCTTTCTCCTGGCAATCCTTCTAAACAATCCACACCTTTTCAGTCATTTTTAAATGGGACAGTCATACGTGTTAACATTTAATATTATAGCTGAGGCCAGTAGAGTCTGAGATGTAGCTCTTGGGGTTTTTTGCTGCTTTTTTTTTCTCTGAGCATTGTGGGATCCACTCTGGGGAAGATTGGCAGCTGTCTTGAGTCCACTGAATAATCTTTCTCACTGTAGAATTAATGGACTGCAAATTGTTTAGAAGTTGTTTTCTTAACATCATTGTCAATGTCTTCTTTCTTGGCACTCTGTTGCACACACCTGAATGCACCAGACCTACAACCTGCCAAAACATCTGCTTTTATAGAGGCGGTCACTCTTTCTGATGATCAGTTTTATCAAGTGCATTTTATCAACAGCACCTGGCTGCTACTTACACTCTTAGTTCCTCTGGAAGCATTAAGGATATTTTTAGTTTTTAACACTCTGATTTTACATTTGGGCTTTTTTTGTTTTTGATAAGAAAATGACGGTGAAATATTTGGGTTTTTTTCTATCCCAGGTTATTTGAATCCAATTTTAAGATCTGCTAAGGACCGTCTTTAATTATGGCCTCATATATAAAACCTTAAGTATAAATAGAGGGTGCGCTTCCTTTCTATGATGGCTATATATGTCTATATGTATATATTCTCAGCTCTCTACAAAATATGAACATAGTTAATACAAGTATAAAGCAAGCAAGAGAGAAATAACAAGTATTAATGAGAATGTTCACACCACTTGCATTTTCAAAGTTCAGTAGCTGAAGTTTGTGTTTTTAGGTCCTCAGATAGACGTTGCCAAAGGAACAGATCACAGAAAAACTTATTACAGAACCTGTCTTATTTGTGCTCTATGAAAGCACAACACTATCTCAGAACTAATTGACCCACTGGGGACAGATAAACTGGCTGTTTGGTACTGTCAACATTGTTACCTCTCTAATTCATAGGAAAAAATGTGGTTTATCCTTTTAAAACATGCTTGATTCTGACACTGAGAATTAAGCTGTTACATTTCCAGTGAATGGTTCTGTCTTACCATTGGTCTGTGCCACTGTGTGTTCAGATCGAGGCTCTGAAACAGATGACGAGAGATGAACTCGTCTCTTGGTTCAAAGAACATCGTGGACAGAGCAGCAGGAAGCTCAGTGTGCATGTAAGCAATGCCTTTGTGTTTATGTTGCACAGTTCTTCACTTTTCTTTGTGTTTTGGACATGATATACTTTGTATCTGTAATAATTTCGTCTCTCTGTGTCCTTAAGGTGGTGGGATTTGGTGCTGAAGAGAATGATGAGGAGGGCAGTGGTGAAAAGCAGGAAGAAAAAGGCAAAGATGAGGATTTAAGGAGCTCAGCCTACGGTGAAGTGTCTAAGCTTAGTTTCCTTCCAGCCTCTCCCAAAGTGGAAGGTGCCATAGCCATCGTGGACATTCCTGCTTTCACTGAAGGCCTGCCCCTCTTTCCCTACCACAAGATACTTAAATAAACTTGTGCTCAGACTGTGAGACAGACTTACTCAGCCACATTCAGGGACTCTGCCTCATTAGAGATGCAGGCACTTAATATGAGGTGAAGGAAGGTTGAAGCAGCTTTGGCTCCTTTCTGGACCTGGATTTCGACTCTGGAGCCCAGCTGTAGGTTTTCCCCACGCTCTGTGCATAAGCAAAAAGACTGAGAGTGATGATAGAGTTTTCTTTTAGCTAACTGATAGTCTGTTCTGCTTTCTCACATTCAATTATTTTATATCCTCAGCAGCTGCGAGAAACTGAAATTCTTTGAATCAGATTCTCATTTATTTGGTTCTCCGAGCTGTAGTGCTGCTACAGAAGTTAAAATCTGTATTTTCCGCTGTCTGCGTCGCAGTCCAGACTGAGTATAATTCAATTTAAAAACACAAATCGACTGTGAAAACAGCAGAAATGCTTTGAACTCCATGCGTGTGAATTTGTGTGCTGGATTTCAGGCTCTGGTGTGTGCTGCGGTTATTGGGTGACCTGGATCGTGCTGTGCTGTGAAACTGCAAAGAAATAAATCATCATCAGTCGATGTTGAGTGAATGAATGAAGCCGTTTAAGCTGTCTTCACAGCAAAAATACACTGAAACTTCAAATCATTGTGACTCTTATGTGACTCATGTTAAATTTGAAAGGAGTTTTGATGTTCTGGGTGCAGTTTTCTTGGCATGCAGTCACATTAAATAACACAGATGGCACAGAGAGACGAGTAGTTGCTAGAATCAACTGCGTCACACACTGAGGTTATTTTAAAGTCAGAAATGTTTGCATGCCGGTGACTCAACGTGATGTCATTTCTACAACTTTAAATTATGTGAAAATTATACATTACTCACAGACGCTCTGCCCGAACCATGAAGAAGAGGCTGCCGCAGGTGATTTTGTCTTGGTCTTGTGCTTGGAGATACTTTGCATTATTGAATGTATTTAAAAAAAAAAAAAAATTAAGCCCAGCTCAGTAGAGCATGTTAACAGAATTGACTAATATGCCTCATACTGTAGAAAAGCCTTCACCTGCAGCAGCGCCACACGTGATGATAATTGTTACAGCTTTGTGATGGAAGGCAAAACAGCTCGTTGGCATAAGATTCACATGGTTCCTGTACCACACCACACATGGCTCTTCTTCAGGCTATGCAGAGGCAAATCCACGGCTCATACTCTTACTGCATTGGGAGTGTGTTTGACAATGTAGCTTTGCTAATCAGATGCTTTCCAGATGGTATTACATGATGGATCAAATTTTGATGGTACTTCTCTGTGTTCATAATTGCATACATTTTGACAAAATCCCCAATACTACTGGCTGAAATATAGCCCCAAACAAGACCCTCCTCCTCACGTGTTGACAATAAACCTCAAATTTGGATTAGTCGTTCTAGAAGACCTGTTGACCTTTTTCATACCTCAGCCTTTTCTCTGAATTTCCCCTTGTAAAGATTTTCTCCTTGGCAGCCACACTTCCACTGAGACCATTTCTGATTAGTGAACAGTAGACGCATCAACTTAAAGGATCAGGATGCATCTCTTGGGTCCTGTTTCAGGTCTTTGCTGGATATCTTAAGGATATGACTATTAGATACTGTTCCTCTGCTCCACTTCTGTCCTCTACTTGTCCAATTTCCTAAGAATTTTTAAGAACACACTGCACTGCTGAGATATGCCAAGTTCACCTTGCTGGTACAAAAATACTCTTTTATTCCTGTCAAACTATGTTATCTTTGGCATTTTTCATAAAGTTAGATAAAAAGGCTAATTATGAAATAACTGATGTGTTTTTACAAGAGGTTGCTAGTAAAGTGCTTAAAGATAGAGTTTATAACTAGTTCTGTGCTAAGTTGTCTGTTATGTTTCGTCACGACACTGCTTCATCCATGAGTTAGGTGCCGTTATAAGTTTGATTGATTCGTAGGGCAAACAAAAGAAAAAGTTTTTATTTTAATAATGATGGAAGTACAGTCCCGATCAAAAGTTTAAGACCACTTGAAAAATGGCAAAAAAAATTATTTTGAATGGTTAGATCTTAACAAGGTTCCAAGTAGAGCTTCAATGTGCAACAAGAAGAAATGGCAGAGCGACAAAACATTCTTTTGAGCATGCAATTTATTGAAAACAACACTTAAACTGAAACATGATGTTTTAGAGCTGATCAAAAGTTTGAGACCACATGCCTTTAAAAGGCCAAATCTGCAAAAATGTGGATTCGTTGTCATTTTCTGTCAGGTAGTCACACTGTCACAACGTTCTAATGAAAAAGGCAAAAAACTTTCCCTTTTTGAACGTGGTCGGGTTGTTGAACTGCATAAACCGGGGCTCTCGCAGCGCGCCATCGCAGCTGAGGTGGGATGCACTAAGACAGTCATTTGGAATTTCTTAAATGATCCTGAGAGTCATGGAACGAAAAAGTCAAGTGGAAGACCCAAAAAAATTTCACCAGCACTGAGCTGGAGGATCCAATTGGTTGTCCGTCAAGACACTGGACGATCCTCGACCCAAATCAAGGCTGTTACTGGTGCCGACTGCAGCCCCGTAACCATCAGACAGCAACTGAGACTGAAGTTGGGCTTCAAAAACCAAAAATGTCTTCAAAGGCCTCGTCCCCTTGAACGCCACAGAACTGACCATTTGGACTTTGCAAGAGAGCACCAAACATGGGACATTGAAGGGTGGAAGAAAGTTTTATTCTCTGATAAGAACAATTTAACCTTGATGGTCCTAATGGTTTCCAAGGTTACTGGCATGACAAGCCACCTGAGATGTTTTCTACGTGCCACAGTGGTCTGGGGTGCTTTTTTCCTTCAGTTGAACAATGGAGCTTCAGGAGGTGCAGGGGTGTCAAACAGCCACTGGCTATGTCCAGAGTCAGCGGCCAGAAGTTGCAACCCAGAAGTTGCAGAGAGCATCCCTCATGGCCCCCAGATTTGACCCATTTAGTCAATTTTTCACAGATTTGGATTATAATGCATGTTGATACAAAATATAATCAACAAATCATAGATTATAATAGGGTGAGATAATAAAAACAACTGCTTCTTGGTAATACCACAAAATAAGGGGGGGGGGGGATGAAGCCTGGTTAAAATTTAATCAATGCTACCTGTGGGAAGGATCGTGTTTCTACACTCCTTTTAATGGTACAATGTGGAATTAATTTGATCGTTCTGGATGTATGGCAGCAAATATGTTCTACTCTACAGCACCGCAGAGCATTGCTGGTGGTGACAAACAGATCTAATTAGCTTTGACTATATTGGTCTAAGCATTGCCTCAGTGGTAGATCAGCTGCATAAATCTCCTCTGTGGAGAATACAGGATATTAAGAACTGGCTACTTGTCCTACATAACACTAAATTCAAGATACTGCAGCTTTGAAGAGGAAAGGGAGGGAGGGGGTGGGGGAGGGCATTTTGAATTTGAACTAATAAGAACAACCGCTAGCTTCAGGAAAGCTTCAGTCCTCTCTGTACTGCTGCTACAGGCCTGCCTCTCCCAAACTGTGTGTACTACACCCAAAAACATCTTTAAGGTTGAAGGAGTTGAAAATCTAGTTTCACACTCTACTTACTCACCCTCCAGGATTTCACATAAAGGTTTATTGATGCCTCAATCTGGTGAGCTCAGAGGCCACTGAAGGCACTTGAGTTTATTTAGGTGTAAAAAAAAAAAAAACACTTGTGAAGGCTATTTGGCCTTTGGAAGAGTGGTGCATGTAAGCACTCATTTAAAGTGGGTGCAAGGGAACCAGACTTTCAGCTTAACGTATTCGCTGAGGTTGTCTCAGAGTCTGGTCCCTTTCATGCAATGTTCCTGTTTTGTTATCCTGCTAGTAATGTACTGTATATAAGAGCAGGTCTATTAAAAGTTAATCAGCTTGTGCTTTTACTCGGATAATTTAAACTGTAGCTATATTCTCCTCTTTGACATAAATGGGTTGTGGGACATCATTTTCTTTACTTGGCAAGTTTTCAGGCTTTGTCTGAAGTTTGAAGTGGTGTGTTTTTGATATGTTTTTATTTTAGACAAGGTTCATTGTAATTTCTTGGTTATATATTGTGTTTTCTGTGTCTACAGATATGTTAGTGAGTCTGGTTTGGATAGAGAGCACACTCCGGTTAGACAAATGACATTAAAGTCTCATGATTTCTTATTTGACTGTTCAGACTGAGGAGAGGAAAGAAAGTATCTCTTTTGGGACCACATATAGAAGTGGCCCACTTCAGGACTAAGAAAAGACCAGATTCCATGTGATGTGTTTTGTTCACAGTTGTCATGAAAAACAACTACAACAACAAAAAAACACATCTTACCCTGCAGTGTAGCCTCTGAGACAAACAGCGCTTTGACTTAATATAGACGCTACAAAGCCAGTCTGCTCACAGGAGCAGTGCTAACGTTCTGAGGATAATTTTTACCATGTGCACAGCTTAATTTGCTCTACCAGCATGCAAAAATGACCTAATTAGAAATCAAATCAAAATTCAATTGAGGCTTACAGGAAAGTGTTTTTGGGGGTCTGGAGAAGTTTCTCGGATGAGAGGTGAAACGTCTTCAAGCAACTTAAAGAAGGCCAGACACTTAAAGTGTTTTTTTTTTTTTTTGGTTTTTTTGTAAATATTAAACTGATTAGCCAAAATAATCTCATTTTGAACATTCTGTACTTTATAACAAACTAATAGTTCAATCAAATCAATCAATCAAACAAACCTTTATTTGTCACATGCAAGTTTGCACCTGCAGTGAAACACATACATATGGTTGCTGTCATATAATCACTGGGCACTTCATTGAGCACACCTTGCTAGTACTGGGTTGGTCCCTCTTTTGCCTTTAGAGCTTTCTTAATTCTTTTAAGGTGCTGGAAACATTCCTCACAGCTTTTGGTCCATATTGACATGGCAGCATCACATAGATTTGTTAGCTGCACATCCAGCATGCGAATCTCCCGTTCCACTACTTCCCAAATGTGCTCTATTGTATTTTGTTGAGATCTGGTGACTCTGGAGGCTATTTGGTTACACGGTTTCATGTGTAGGAAATCAGATTTGAGCTCTGTGACATGGTGTGTTAAAGAGCTGGGAGCAGCCAACAGGAGATGGGTGTACTGCGGTCAGCCGCAATACTCAGGTACGCTGTGGGACTTAAACGATGTTCAGCTGGTACTAAGGGACCCAAAATATGCCAAAGAAATATCTCACACACCATTACACCACCGCTAGCATTGTTTACACCACCAGTGTTTACACACCTGCCATCTAAATGTGTCACAATGACGCAACCTTCAGACAGATCAGACAAGCCAATGTTTTCCAGGCTTCTAGAGTCCAGTTTTGTTAAAGCCATTGAAACTGTAGCCTCAGTTTCCTGTAGCAGCACCCAGAGTTGTCCTCCGTTGCTGTAGCTCATCTGCTCTAAGATTAGACTTTTTGTGCATTCATAGACACTCTTCTGGATACCTTGGTTGTTATAAATGATTATTTAAGCTACTGTTGCCTCCATTTCGGCTCAAAGCAGGCTGGCCATTCCTCTCTGACCCCTGACATAAACTGTTTTTTGTTTTTGTTTTTTAAACCCTAGACAGAGTTGTTTGGAATTTTTCCAAACAACCCTGACAGTTTCTGAAATATTCCGACCAGCCTGTCTTACACTAACAACCAAGTCCCTTAAATCCCCTTTCTTCCCCATTCTGGTGTCTTAATTTTACACTCAAAGGAGTCACCCTATGCTTCTGCACCGGCTTCACTTTTCAGGCCAGGAAAATGTATAAAGTACTGCAAATTTAGACCAAAGTCTAGAGTCTCAGTGATACAAAGTAGGCAAACAAATGACAGCCATTCAATACTGCTCGCCTGGGTAAAAATGTATTTGTCTTTATCTTTAAATGCTACACAAATAAAGGATGACATTTCTAACAACTTGTTTCTAGACCAACCATGAAGCTGGGGTAAAATTTGCAGCTGAAACAAGGCATATATGCAGCATCCAATCTGCTCATTCACTGCTAGTGTCTTTTGCTTTTGAGGAACTGGATAAGTAGCCTTTCCTTGGTGTCTAACCATGGAGACCAGCAGCTTCCCAGTGCTTCTTTGGTTAAGAAAGTTCTAATTCAGCCTTTGGGCTATGTAACTGTGTCACAAGTTGTACTACCAGCAAATAAACTCAGCCGGCACTGTCAACAGTAGCTGGTGGTCCTGCTGAGAAA